TCTGGTGAGCCAGCAGGTACTCGATCAGGATGGGACTTCAAGGATTCTCTGCGGATGATTCACTGTTATTGAATGCCTCGATGATCCGAGCCCATTTGCGCACCTTTTGTAGGCAGTTCGGATTTGTTGTTGAGTGGCGTCGGGGGGAACACCCAGTATTTTGTCTGTATCCTTATGAGCTCAGCTCCAATAGATTTAATCACTCAAAAGAAGGACAGTAATACAGTAATCGGGCCGCCCTGATGCTTGTTTGTCAGTCTTTGATTCTCTCAAGGTAAGACTAGGATTGATAAGGTCTTACTAGGCATATTGACAGTGAAGCGTTCTGAGAGAAGATATCAAGTCGCGCAAAACAAAACGGTGGTGAGAAAGTTTCTATTCCTGTTTCAAAATGAATTAATTGTGAGGTCAAACTTGAAGTATTTCTAAAGGCATAGAACAAGAGGGAACAGAGATTCAAGACTTTCATGTGCTGGCTCCTTCAAGCCGATGACGTCGTAGTTGATGCCTTGGAAATAAGGACACAATATTCATCTGAGCGCAAACACCCCCTGAGGAACAACCACCAATGAGAATCTCCCGCTCACGACCAGCCACCGTCGACTTTCTACTAACGCATGTCAGTTTAGCTGGTGCAAGCAGCTCCTTTTGGCTTCTTCTGGTGCTCACAAATGGAATCACTTTGCCAATTCCCCCGTCCTGTCTCCAGCCTCTGCTTGCTGTGGTCTCTCAATTGCTTGAAATACTAGGCCACTGATCATTGTTTACGGCGACTTCGCCCGTACTTCTGATCTATACAGAAATCTCGCGGGGACATCTCTCAAATTCAGTGGTGGAGACATCTTCTGTGCTGGGCCTAGAACTGGAATTTCGTGCATTTGGATCGATTGACTGCGTATCCACTTTCGACTCATCTGGATTGCGCACAGAAAGACGCCTGAGGGGCAGATATTGCATGCTCAATTTGGGGCCATAATTCAGCGGCTATCTCTGCCTTGTTTCCAGACCACTCTTGCTTCAAGGTTGATTCATTACTCTGAGAAAATTCAGGACGTCCCAACACCGATTGACAAAAATGGGCTGGTTTGATGGAAGATCGTCCTCGTCATCTCACCATGTTCGTCGACGCTCCCCGTCCCGTCGATCTGTCTATTCGACTTCGCACTCTCGCCATTCGGCGCCATCGATTTTCAGCCTAGGTGGCTACAGTCGTGCTGGTCGTTCAAGCCCATCGGTGCTGTCCTCATCATCTTCGAGACGCGCACGGCCTCGAGCTGGTTTTATCCAGCGAGTGATCCACTATATCAAGCGCCTCTTCCGCGACATCTACAGCTATGCGCGCCGTCACCCTGCAAAGGTGTTGTTCATGGTCATCGTCCCTCTACTCACGAGTGGCGTGCTGCAGAAACTACTGGCTATGATCGGTATCCGCCTACCGCATAGTCTGAGTGGTCACTCCTCCAGTGCTGGAAGGGTCGGCGAGAGTGGCATGAAGGACAACCTTAATGGACTTATGAACATCGCTAAAATGTTCCTGTAGTACTGAGGGGGCCCAGCAGACTTCACGGGAGCTCTGCTGCAATTGACGACAAGCTTTGACGCGGCGACCATCCATGACGAATGGCGATACGAAGAATGTCTACGAACAATCATGACTATACCAATGACGATGATTACATGTACTCGATCTACATATTTGATGTCTTGTTTCTTTCCGACAACCGTTGATGATTTATACCAACTACTATTGGGAGGCTGCCTGCAATGTCATACATTTAAAGCTTACACGTGCGTCCTGGTAATCAATGACTTTCTCCTTTAAGGTCTCTATAGCCTAAGGTTGCGTTAAGGCCGCCTATCAGTAGTGTTCTCAATCGTAGAAACAGCGACCTACATTCCAAGGGATACTAGCGGACATCTGAAAGGAATGGACTTGACCCTTCGTTTGCCGTTGCATCTCTCTAGCCACTCCTTTCAGGTTGAAATCTAGAGATGGGACTGGACCTGTTCGTGAACAGATTAGTGAAGAGCGAACTGCGTTTAATAGATATGGCTGCGGCCCAAGGGCATACTAGTGGACATTGAGCGTAGTTGCAGCAGCAGTCAAAGTCAACTTCTTGCGAAGATGAAGGCATTGCGTGGCATAAGTTTTGTTGTAGTAGCTTTTCTACCTCTAAAATTGATATACATGTATACAATGCTTTCTCGACGAGATAACGTCTCGAGAAGAGTAGTATAAGTCAAGGCTCGAGCTTGACAATTGGGCGCCCATCCTGGGGTCAGGCTGGCTCAGGGCCTTTGTGACCGTTTGCCTCTCCGTCTAGACGCACCGCTATTGGACCTGAGGGCAGAACTGTTGCTATCCTGGACCTCTTGCTCCGTGGCCTCTGCTGATTCTTCTTCAGCGTCGAGTTCGTGCTCTCCCGTGGTAGGAGTTCCAGTCAGTTTGCCCACGGTCTGCTGGTATAACCAAACCGGGATGCGGAACACCATTGTGTCGCGGATAGTCGGTCGCTGGATTTCATCAATGTCGAGCAGGTATTCCTGGCGTTCCCCGTCTTCGGTCTCCTCTTCGAGGAAGACATTTCCAATGGAGTCGACGATCAACACCTTACCATTTTCAGCAACGACCCGTTTCCTCTCGCCAGTCGGCTCGACAGACTCAGTGGTGGGTGTTGCAGTGCCGGAGCCGCGAGGGGTTGCCTTCGAACCTTTTTTGCCTTCCTTGCGATTCTCGCGCTCCATCATGCGCTTCTGGCGCCTATTCATAGGAATTGCAGTCGCTTCGCCTTGCTCAGGAGGCGGAGCAGGGGCGGCAACATTGGCGGCGTCAACGCCGGGAATGCCACGGACGCCCAATTCGTCACCCCAGGCGGCCCTTCTCGCTTGGCGAATGTACCGGTCGACGAATTCCCGCTGCCGCTTCCAATTGAGAACGAGGGCGGCGTAATGAGCACCACCACCGAAAGCGAGAAAAAGCCCAACAAGCACACTTCCTAGACCCGGACGGAATCGAGAGTAATAGTAGCCGGTGCCCTTCCACGTGGGGAAGCCGTTCTTCAAAAAGTGGTCGTAACGCTCACGACTGGGCCCACGGAGGATGTTGGCGACGGTGTTCAAGCGAGCGGCCCGTTCGTGGGCCTCCTTGACAGCGGCGGCAATTTCGCGCTGGGAGGGACCCTTGTTGACATGGACGCCCTGCTTGGTGGTTTTGGCTCTGCCCTTGTCCTTGGAACGGTTGGCGATGAAGGATCGCTTGACCTTGTCGGGATGGAGAAGTCTGGATTTCTTGCGGTAGGCCTTGTTCAATTCCTCCTGATTGGCATTGGGACGGACACCGAGGAAGTCTATCAGGAAAGGAGAAAAATGAGATATGAATGCGCAGGTGAAAGACAGGAGAAGGACGTACCGTAAAAAGTCACATTACCACCTTCAGTAGCTGCGACCTCATCGTTGAGACGGAAGATTTCATAATCTTAACGATATTAGCATTGATGCGACAATCTTCTTTGTTCGCAAGGAAATCAAGGGCGATACAAAAAAAAAAAAAGGGACAAACCTTCTTTAGTCCAAGCAGCAGCAAGAACAAGCAGAACAGCGAACACAAACAAGCGGAGAGCTAGAGGCTTCATTATGGACACAGAGGGGAAGCGGTCAATGCCGCAATGGCCCGAACAAAGAATCAAATAGAAGTCTAGGTAGTCTCTAAATCCTGGATAAAAGTTGAGAAATGGAGTGAGCACTACGGAGTGCACATAATTTAGAGTTACCGCTTTTGGTAAACTATGATCTGTCCACAGTCCATGATACAATTGTAAGGCGGTCAGCAGCAGGCTGTAATACACCACCTAAGGTACATTTTCCATAGGAAGCTACGTTACTCCGTACCGAGCCCAGCTGCCTTCAAGCGCACCTAGTTACTAATGGAAGGCATCAAATCAAGTACTTTACTGTCACAAAATGGCTGAGGGATACGTGTGATCCACTCTGCAGAGGAAAAAACGTGGACCAATAATGGAGATGGTATTGAAGCCTTAGGCATGGCGAGAAATGGATCCGATACGGAGATGAGGGGTTCCAATGGCAATCCTGATTCTAGATGTGATGAATCTGATGGGTACGATTCATCAAGACGGAATGTTGGAGGTTGAAGGGTGTGGATTTAAATGCAAGCATTTCCCTGTCGTAGTCTCTTAGACTCTCTTCTTTTCTGTCCTTGCCTAGGTAACTCTAAGTGAGGTACTAAGGTACTGTCCACAGATGTACCTGGCGTCCTGAGGCATCCATTTCGGTTGGCAGAACCGACAAGGGATACATTTGGACTCTTGGAGAGGAAAGGGTATTGACCATGGAGGATGCTTAATCCGAACGAGAGTTCGGATCTTGTTATGTCGTTCTCTGCCATTTCCCTTTTATCCTTTCATTCTACAATTTCTCGTTCGTGGTTCTGCTCTCGAGTCTTGACCGGAATCGACCAGTGGTTTGAGATTGTGGACTCTTCCGCTTCCAGGCACCAACTACCTTAATACTTCCATTCTATTATTAGGGTCTTGGGGAGTGGAAAGTGCAGTCAAAAGTAACCTCACAACGTGACGACTGCCATTATCATCAAAGGCTAGGCACTACGAGTGAAAGATTAAGAGTCTTGCTTCCCTGGGTATCTTCAATCTTCAGGAGTCCTAAGGAGTCTTGGACGGTTGTGGCTGAAAGTGCTAGCTCTGAGCCTTGTGCCTGTTGCAACGCCGGAACCAAAAATACGAACCAAACGGGGCTAGGCTGGACGTCCTTATTATTTTTCTCTCTTTAGGCTTCCTCATATCTTCCGGCCAGATAAACCTGTCAACTCTCCCTAAACCATCTACCCCTTTTGCTTGTTCTCTGCTCATTGACTCGATTCTCGTCTTTTTCTTGCCTCCTGATACTCTTTGCTTTCTCCTTGACCGTCCATTACTGCTGCATAATTTATTTCCGTTCACAAATCCTCTATCAACCATTTCACAATGAGTCCGATTCAGTTCCCCATTGACGCGATTACCTCGCGATTCGGGGATCGCTTCAATAGCGTCCGCGCTCAATCTCTTACCTCGCGTTTCGCCAACCTCCGGCCCATCTCAGAGTTCCTGGACGTCAAGCGCGTCTCGAAGCCTGCTAATTTCGGCGAAGTTCAAAGCCGTGTGAACTACAACCTGTCCTATTTCTCGAGCAACTATGCCGCCGTCTTTGTCATGCTCAGCATATACAGCTTGTTGACCAATTTGAGGTTGCTCTTTGTCATCGTCTTGGTTACCGGCGGTCTGTATGGAATTGGCAAGCTCCAGGGCCGTGATCTTGATTTGGGCTTTGCCCGATTCAACACCTCTCAGCTATACACCGGTCTGCTGATTGTTGCCGTTCCTATGGGTCTTTTGGCTTCCCCCTTAACCACGGTGCTCTGGCTGATCGGAGCCACTGGCGTGACTGTCTTCGGTCACGCCGCATTTATGGATAAACCAATCGAGAATGCTTTTTCCGAGGAGGCGGTCTAGGTGGTCGGCCGCGAGCTCCTTACGGTATGCCCCGATGGGGAAGACCACCGGGGGCACGAGTGGGGAGATCAACCGGGAGACAGGCGGCTCAGTGGATGAATACTAATAATGTGCGGATTCAGGAGATTGACAGCGGGGGTGAGGAGGAGTATCTTCTGCGAAGTGGTCGCGCTTTGTATGCTGCTGAACAACGGAGGATTGGGTGGCCGAGGCGGAATGAGGATTACGACAGATTTGCTGGCGACGTGCACTCGGTCGACGGCATAGACTTTGACCTGTATGACGATTCGGACAGCACGGTGGCGTATGCGGTGCAATTAGCGATGAAAGACGATGAAGAGTGGTTGGTAGACAAGGCCCTGAAACGGATACGGCGCGCGCAGATGCTGGGCCAGAAGAATGTACGACTGTCACAACGGGAGTTGGACGCCCTTGAACGAAAACGAATGCAAACAGACCATATGAAGGACGTTGGACAGAGAAACAGTGTTCCCAAGGCAGCGTCTATCGACGGCAGGCCCTTGAGGCCGGTAGAGAGCTCCACAAACGGGAGACCGGGGAATCTAGAGACGATGCGGCGTGGATCGACCGCTCCAAATGGTAGCGTGCCTCGTACCTTTGTGACCGACAAGAAGGAGCTGTTTGAGTCGAGGGCGCGGGCTTCGGGCGCTTCGGCCAGTGACCATTCTTCTGTACTACCACGAACGCCCACCATACCTACCCTTCCACCTCGAATGTTGGGGCCGCCGACTTACTCATCCGTTCCACGCGATTATCGGTCAGAATCTCACCTCACCTTTCCCAGCCCTCTTCCACCGGCGGCCTTCCAGAACCCTCCATATGCACGCATCCTTCCTCACGAGCCACAGTGGGTACCTCCCTACGAGGCACCATACGCTTCCGCAAACGTCCGTGCCGGACCTCAAAGTTATCCGAGCCCTATGACATATCAAGCAGGCCCTGGTTCGGTTCTTGGCGATCGCCATCCGCTGAGTCGTCAGCATGCGCCCTCAAATGCGGCCAGGGGCGATTCGAGCAGCGAAAGTGACGAAGAAGACGGTGAATCCGACAATGACGGTGACCAAGTACACATTGTCGATGTGGTGCGACGAAAAGTGCCAACTGGTTTTCAGAGTCGGCCTGCTGCAGCCAGCGGGGTCGGCGCGAGAGCAGTTCCCCCAGGCCGCCGTCGTTCTTGAAAGCATACAAATATACCCCGCTCTGTGCCCCTTCATTTCCTTTTTCCTTATGATTCTGGTGGAGATGTCTTCGATGGATTGTGCCTTTCTGTGTCTCTTGTGTGTTTCGGTTGGGGCGGGCCCAGCTCAGTGTGGCATTTGGCAAACAAAAACGTAACGGAGTTCTGAATTAGAGCGGTGACTTGGTTAAAGGTTACATTACTTTCCAATTCTGATTGATTTTGAGACAATAGACTATGTGATGAAGCGAAACCGTGGAACGATAGTCCCCTGATGGGAGTAACAGTATCGTGTAACCGGGAGGAGATCCCGAGTCAGTTTGTGCACATGGCAGCTGTACAGGGAGGGTATGGAAGAGCCTGCAGCTGCAGGATAGATGGCTATCAGGATGATTGACAAGGATTTGCCAAGGGTAAACGATTCAGAGTTATGAGGATAGAGTGATTCGTGGCTGTGACTGCGGACCTGAAGGTGATACTTGCTGCCTACTGTGCACTCTTCGTATAGAATGAGTAGTCTACGGAGCACAGCCAAGACGTTCGACAAGATGCTGTAGTCGATGACACCAATGAGAATAGACGGCAAACCGGGGAGAAAAGGAACCGATAGTCGAGTTGCTTTGCGGATGACTATGGATCGTGATACACAGCACTGAGTCCTTCTATCGCATTTCGGAAGATCGACAATCGCTCCGCCGATGACGTCGATGGACTGACTGGGGGGTGAAATCATTCCTGATTTCTTCAGGATATTTATAAGAATGTTATATCTTCATAATCAGCGTGCAGAGTATCCAAGGCCAGTTCTGTTGGCTCTTCCTCCTTTCCTTAACCTCCCTTTGGCCTCAGGCTGCTAGGCTGTCAGGCCTTGATCCCCGAATTCGGAATACTCATCCCTTCATCCTTGATTAAACCCACACTACCGTGCTCATTTCCATCCCTTCTTTCTCCGTTACAGTTCTGAACCACAAATAGCCAACACAGCTAGGGGATACAACCAACGCCATAGAGTCAATTGGAGGGATTGTCGTCATCCAAGCATTACTGTTGCCTGAAGTATTCGTCAAAGCCAAGCCTTTCCATCCTGTGAGTTTGATCTAAGCCACATCCGCTCTATCCGGAGGCCCGATCCGCTGCGCATTTAAAGTGAAGGATGGCTTGAACTGATCAATATATGTCGAATTGCCATAGAAGAGTGCCATTATCGTTCTTTTGAGCTTAGACTTGTCTGTCCTGTTTTCACATTGTGTCGCCGACTTCGACGTCTTGATCGAAAGAAAGCCGCGAAAAAATAAAAGGTTAACATAACAACATGTGGATTATATCATTTTGGATCTTTCCTGTAATATCGGCTTGCATGTGGCTTGGTAGGGATTTGTGTTCCCCGAACTGATCAGATTGATACTAATTTGATGATTTTGTCTAGCCATGCTGCTTGCGATGCTGGGAAACTGGGCTGTAATCGGGACGCCTGTTTACCCCAGTATGGAAGCCGGACAAACCATTGCGTATGTCGTCATTTCTGTGCTTTGACTTTGGTCTCTCTGTTCATTTGACGCTGACAAAGGATTATAGATATATATCTGATATTGGAGCGGAGGGGTTGAAACCTCTGTTCATCACAGGCAGCGTCATCACCGTTGTCTTCTTGGATTTGTCCTTCCTTTCAGAACGCTGGCTGCGACACGCCGGGCAGTTGGTGCCGAACAGAGGCTGGTTTGACAAATTCTGCGCCGTCGCTTCGATATTTTTCGCGGTCGCTGGCGCACTGGGCTTGATCCTGCTCTCGTGCTACGATACGCTACGTTATCCGCATCTCCACGATGGATTCCTGCTCATGTTCCTGTAAGTGGCATCTTCTCTGTTCACAGAAACGTTTACAGAAACAAAAGTACTGATTCCTTTAGTGTCGGATACCTGATCAGCGCGCTGCTCATCTGCGCCGAGTATCTGTGGCTGGGAATCTTCTATCGCTCGCAGCATCGTATTTTGTTCGCGAGCTTTGTGATCAAACTCTCGTTTGTGGTTATCGAGGTCGCACTGGCCATTGCCTTTGGTATCTGCGGGCGCCGCAGCACCGGCAAGAAAAATGTGGCCGCTGTCTTGGAATGGGGTACGTTCTGAATTCCTGTCTCGACATTTTCGATGCTAATATCTGCAGTTATTGCTTTCGTCTTCACGGGGTATATACTCTCCTTTGTGGTCGATCTTCTACCATCTGTGCGAACGCGTCGTCACATCCCTCAGGGTGAAAAGCGCCTCGAAATGGCCCACGAGGGGCCCAATGCTCCTCATCCCACCGAGGCCAATGGGGGCTACATGGTTGAAGAGCCCCTGACGACTGATTCCGCCGGGCCCAACGCCAACTACTACCGCGGACAGCGGGCTACCGGTTACTAAAATCGGCGGTCTTGACGATATACACGAATTATACCTTGATGATAGCACTTTTCTCATTTGATTTGATATATTGCCTGCTGTACAACACTGCATTGGGTGTGTTAGAGAAAGATACCTTGGTTTCTGATGGTTGCTTGTTTATGGGTATACAAACGCATTAATCATATAATTGTTCATTTGTCCAGAGTTGCTAAAATCTAGATACCATGAATGATGACCGCCCGTAATTACAAATATGATATCCCAGCTAAATGTACATCCATCATCAGATAGAAATAATCGGAAGAATAAAGCAAAATCAAGACTAGGCGAGCAACCTCTGCCTGATCAGCCCCTGCTTCTCCCGATCAATCCCAACCGCCACCAGATACCCTTCAATCCCGCCATATCTCGCATCCAGATGCGCCCGGATCTGCTGCGTAAACCCCGGCGGACATTTGGTATACTCCTCGTCCAAGCCCAGCACGCGGATCTCCTTCATCCGCTCCTCAAAGTCAGCGATCAACTCCGGCTCCGACTTGACGTAGTCCGCCGCGATAGCGTCCGCCGATACCTGCGGCACAAGGAGCAGAAGCAGAAGCACAATCAGACCCGTCCGGTCCTTGCCCTGCGTGCAGTGCACGATGACCGGGTACGCGGCCGGCGACACGAGCAGCTCGAAGATCTCGCGGATCTCCGCCGTGCTGCTGTCCAGCGTGTCCTGGCCGAGACCGATCAGGCCCCGTGGCGCCATGACCTGCTGGCCCACGATGGTGACGGCATCGGTGTGGTAGCCCGCGGCTGCGAGGGCGAGGACTCGTCTGTAGATATCAATCGCTGCACCTGAGGTGAAAGAGTCGGGGGGCGCATACATGAAGTTATACCAGTCTAAGCGCCATAGCAGGGCCCGTTCGAATGCTTTGCCCGTTAGACTGATCAGGGATCGTTGCACACCGGGGATCTGCATCAGATGCTCGTTCGCCTCCGCAGGAGGGAGAGACGGTTGGTCTGTGTTGAGAGCATCCTCGCCGCGGCGTTTCCGAGCGGCCATTTGGTGTTCGGTCCTGTCAGTGTCAATATGCTTCTATGACACCGCCACTGGCAAAGCGGGACGTCCCATACATCGATCTCAGATCCAGGACGGTTGAAATGTGTAGCTCTTCCGCTAGTCGCCGTCTATCTCGTTCTGAGGCATCGTCTAGCTGTTGTTTGTCAGCAATGAGACATTGACAATGACAATAGTGGATCTATCTATTATGCGCACCCTTGCACTTCGAAAAAGGACGCCTTCCTTGAGGACGCTGCACAGCCATATACCGTGAGCGATTCCGTGGATAACGAGGCAACGTCCAGACATACCGAGATCCCATCAATTGATTGATCGACCGTCCGACATCGCGAAAGTTGATGATATTGTCGAAGGGCCGATCAGCCGAGTCTAGATCGACGCTGGATTGGCGGGGAGGATTGGTGGTCATGGCTATTGCTGAGATGACGGATAAAGGGAAAGAAGATGTCCAAATTATAAGTGTGAAAGAATATGGGTATCATAAGACGAGAAAAGAACAAAATGCAAGTAGTGAGTTGATTAATCCATCAATCAGAATCAACGACCGGACGTGAGATTCAAGACAATCAGTCGCTTTGTTATCGTAAGTGGTAGACGGGCTACAGTCTCTAAACAGTGTCCATGACAAAAAGTAGACGGATGAAGCGAGGACAAAAGAATGGAAAGACCGTGGAGATGAAGACGAGGATGAGGATGGGATGAGGATGGGATGAGGATGGGATGAGGATGGGATGAGGATGGGATGAGGATGGATGAGGACGAGGATCAAGGAGATACAAGACAGACAGACAGACGATGGATGGATTGATTGGACAGCGGAGTCAGGATTACAGAGTAAGCGTTTACGGATCCCCTCAAACTGGCGGTGGAGAGGAAAAAGCCAGAAAAATAGTCCTACCAACGGCACTAGTTACGGCCCGACGGCTTCTACTCCGGATGGATCGCTTGTATCCGTATACGGAGTAGAAATGATTTAATCCACTTCTTTATCTTCATGAATCATGACTGTCTACTTACACGAATACAACTCCTGCCTCAAGGAGTCGGGCCAGACTGCATCAACCCATTTTCAGAAGCTGCCAGCTGGCCTCCTGCCAGCGACCTTTCATGCATACTGGCTGCGGTCTTTCCAGCTCGGCTGCAGATAGCTCCAGTCCTGATTGAAGTCGAACCCACTGCAATACTTTCCATACGCCACCAGCTCCACCTGGTCCAGCTTCGCTCCCGCATCAGTCAACGCCCACATGCTTATCGCCAGCGTGTTCTCTCCCCGGTTGTTGATCACACCTGGCGGGAAGGGGAAGAGACTCTGCGGTCCGATGTGGGGGAGGTAATGACCGAACTGATATCCGTTCATGAAGATCTGGACTACCGCTTGTGTGCCATCGGGCGCGCCCAGCTGGAGTCCGATGGGGACGTCCAGACCTTTATCGAGGTTCAGCTTGAACGTGGTGGTGTAGAAACGACCCTCGGCTCCAGATACACCGTCCAGCGGGCTGCTCGTCGACGCGGATCTGGGTGCCTTGTACCCGGGCAGATGCCAGCCCATGCGCTCACCATACAGTCCGCCCTCGTTCATTGGGCCACGTACCGGGTCGATGTTCTTCTCTCCGCCTGCGTTGCCTTGGATTCGCCAAGATGTAAAGTTGACCCCTCCAATCAAGGTGGCGCCCAGGATACCCCGCGGGTTTTGGGTTCCCTTTGGCTTCACGCTGTTCTGATCATGGCCGGTATAATCCGTGACCACTGTAAGGACGTTGTTACGCGCCTTGAGCGAGGAGCTGTTAAAAGCGAGGACAGCCGACGTCGCAGCGAGGCTAGGGCTGCCCACGGCTCCGCCCGCATACTGCCCGTTCACCCAGGCTGCCCATCCAGCGGCTGCGCCGTTCTGTACAGTGACATTCGCGCCGGTCACGTTGCGCCCGCCGAAACGACCACGGTAGACCTTGGTGCCCGCGTGGTAGCCGTAGTCACCGGAGTAGAGGACAGGGAGAGAAAGCGGCGCAACCGCATTTACTGAGGTGGTCTTGTTGCAGACAGTCCATTTGGAATCGTCGTAATCTGGCTGGATCTCCGGAAGAGTGTCTTGGGCCTTCCAGGAGTCCAGCGAGGGAAGTGAGATCTGAACATCGTCCGCTCCAGATACAGTTCCAATCAGACTTCCGTACGCAGTCTTTCTGGTCTTGATTGCCTTCCCATTCCACTTGACATTCTTGACCTGCGGGTTGCCAGTATACACTCTGTCTTACGGTCAGTCTCTCTCATAGCAAAGGAGCCGGAAAAATCTTACTCAATAGATGTGGTGTTTGCGTTGTCACCAGTGATCTCCACCGTACCGTGGTTGAGGGAAGCCCCGCGAACCAGGTACGGTCCTTGAACCAGTATGTGCTCGTTGGGGGCAACCTGCGGGCTTGATGTGGTCGGAGGCGCAAAGAAATTCCAGGCAGATTCTTTGTCAAGAAGGTAGGCCAACACACCGTTGGAGAACTTCACCGCAGTGACACCCTCTCCCTGAGTGTAAGAATACTGCGTACCGTAGCTGGCCTCCGAGGCGGTGATGTTGCTATTGCCGTATGTTTGGAAGGTGAGTTTTGGTTCATGCTTGAACACGAAGGTCCCCTTCTGGCCCACAGTCAAGTAGAAGACGAGGACATCTACATCGAGGTTGGCATACGTCAAGACTTCAGCGGATGAAAACAGCAGAGTCGAGTTCTTTCCGAAATTGTAGTCGGTCACTATAATCTTGCTCTGGCGACCATTCAGCTCGATGTCCGGTATGGAGATGGCACCTAAGTCCGGTAAGCAGCAAGTCAAGAAGAAACAGCACGCGAAGGCCATACCGGCAGAGGTGGTGACGTTGAGGGAAAAGTCAGTCACAGCGCGAGATGAGCTGGTGCTGTGTGCAAGCACATAGAATCCGGCGTTTGTGTCGGGGTTTCTAAGCGACCAGGTGTAGATGCTACTGTCGCTAGTGTAACCGGTACCATTACCTTCCATATAGGTCTTCAACAGATCCGCCGACACACGGGTGAAGAGGCCAATAAGCTTGGTCTGTTTCAACTTGTCGCGAATCTCCCGAGTCTCGCGGAGAGGAGCGGCATAGTCATAGGAAGTGTATACGACTGGAGCGGCGCTGTGGCCCCAGTTGGTCCCGCCATAAGTCATGTAGATGCTCTGCAGCGTCACGCGAGAGCCAATGTTGTTCTTGTAGTAGACATCTGGGAACTCGGGCGACAGCTCCGTGGCGCAGGTGTCATAGACATACCCGCCCCAGGGCTGGAACCATCCGCCTTCGAACTCGGGCAAATACTCGGGTTGCGTGAAGGAGTAGTTCTGGAACCATTGATAGTATGTCCGGACGAGATTAAAACCAGTGTTGGGATTCGTGCAGGAGAGACCACCAGGGTACGAGTCCAAACCATAGACATTGACCGCGCCTCCTACATTGTGGTAGTCTGTTGACCAGCTGACGGCTCGCATGCCCTTCTCATTGTGGGAGCTTGGAACAACAATCCCAGCCTCCTCGAACACCTGCGCAATCTGCTTCATGTAGACAACCAGAGTGTTATCCGCACTGTAGGACGTCTCCTGGAGCTCATTCTCATGTTGATTGAGAATCACAGGGCCGCCGTTGGTGACCTGGTTCTTCGCAATGATCTTGCCGACCTCCAGGATCCATGGCCGCCATTTTTCGTAGTATGCCTCATCGCTCGTCCGCTCATTGCCCATCTGGCCGTTCGCGGCCCAAAGGGCAAACCCACCAGCCGAGGTCTCTGCGTTGCAGTACGGGCCCGCTCTTGCGATCACATACAAACCCGCTTCTTTGGCGTAATCGAACAACCGCTGGATGTCATGGGCTCCGTTCTCAAAGTCGTATTCGCCCTCCGAGGCGCTGTGGAAGCTCCAAAAGAAGTACACTGCCAAGCCCCTTTTAGCCCCGTGTAGGACTCACCCATGCTAATGAAGGATAAGGCTCGTACCTGAGATGGCATTGAACCCATTGGCCCGCAATTTCTGAAAGACATCCAACCACATCTCCGGCACAGGAAGTCTCTGGTAGTGAAATTCACCCGAGAAGACAAACAGTCTCTCCCCCTTAACGGACAGGCTGTACTTGTCCCATGTCACGTCGGTAGTCTTGCCATTATCTGTTCCTGACACCAAACAATCACCCGTCAGGATCCCTAGTAGGAGCAGAAAAAGGAAGCTAAAGACTCGCATATTCGCCTCGCCAGTTGCGCCACGGTGCTCTCGAGACGATTATCCCTGTCCATGGCCGCAAAATTGGGGGCAGAATTCACGACAATAAAAGGGTCGCATTGACTGAAGCATGCGACTACCATCTTCGGGCATTCGCGACAGTGTTACTCCGGTGCTGTATAGGGATTGGTGGATGGTTGTGATCGAGTAGTAGATGACTTGATGCAGCTAACAAGCACCCATGCTCCTTTTCTCCGATGGAAGCAGGAGAAGATCGTCGGACGAGCGCGATTGGGTGGTGATGGTTGTCTGATGGATGATTTGATCCATCTTGAATGCGGGGGGAGAAAAGAGGTCGGAGAGGACTTGCGGGGGAATACATAAAGACATCTTGACTATGGAGGACACCACGAAATGAGTCCAACTGCTGTTTTTGATTCGGTATATCTCTCATCTATTCGTCTCGGTTAATGCCGAGGGTTGAATGAAAGCAACCCAGTCCAATCCAAAAGAAAGGTAATTGAAGTGATCCTGTTTTCGCCATAAGCTTCAACAGCTTTCAATTTCTTCCAACCCTTAGAGAAGAGGTCATTCATATAACAGAAATATGATTGAAATTTCATGACATATGTACCAATAACTAAAGTCACTAGAAAAGATTGCGACAGAACCGTTGGAATACAATTAGTCTCCATATTTCCTCCCCAATAACCACAAACCACGACGCCCGAAAACATTCGTCCCAATAGAACCCTCAAGGAGAAGATCAAGGAGAAGACACGAGGTATAGAAAGAAAAGACTCAAGAGCCCGACCAAAACAGATACAAGAAGACAAAGATGGTACATACGGTGAGCAAAGGCAGATTGCATCACAAGTCCTCGGAGAATCGTGATTCACGACTACCATTTGTGGCATGCTTGCCAATGGCTGGAGGCATAGGTAAACCCTGATCAGTGGCACTCTCTCGCAGCTCCTCTTTTGTGACTGTGGATGCATTGGAGCCTGCAATGTTACGAACGCCACTCTCTTCAGCAGGTTCTGAAGGGGTCTGACGTTCATCACTCGGCTTCGATACACCATTAGTCCTGTGGTCATGTGAGCCGCCAGACACAATCTTCATGAAACTGGATCTCAGGCGTGACGACCTTCTATTCTCGCCACTCTCAGCAATGCCGCTCGAGCCACGCCGCGTGGCCTCGTTTCCTAAACTGCCTTGGTCAACGGACATTCTATGCTGCATCGCGACAAGATCATTGCCTGTGACAGGATGAGATCGGAGTGCCGCACCGCGTGAATCTATCTCCGCCAGCGCCGCGCCTCCAGCAAACCCTGTGCTTGCAGCACTTTCTTTCTCGCCTTCTATCTCTCGTGGAGACTGACGTTCCGTACCGTTAGGCCGGCGACCCACCCGGCCTCTGAACCAAGTTTTGAGTCTGGATTCCCGTCGCTCAAGCGGAGGTACTTCTCCGGCGGCCCCTGGAGTGACAATCAACTCTTCTTCCTCAGCAGGCTGGGGTTGTGCAGTGTCGATAACTGGCGCCTCGCCCTGGGTAGCAGCTTCGGCCTTGGGAGCTTCAGCCTTAGGGGCTTCAGCCTTAGGGGCTTCAGCCTTAGGGGCTTCAGCCTTAGGGGCTTCAGCCTTAGGGGCTTCGGCCTTGGGAGCTTCGGCCTCGGGAGCTTCAGCCTTAGGAGCTTCGGCCTCGGGAGCTTCAGCCTTAGGGGCTTCCGCCTCGGGAGCTTCGGCCTTGGGAGGTTCCGCCATAGGAGCTTCAGCCTGAGGGGCAGCTTCCACCTGAGATGCAGCCTCAACCGGAGGAGTAGTGGCCTGAGGCGCAACTTCAGGCTGAGGTGCAGCTGCAGGTGCAGCTGCCGCTCCACCGGCCGCATGGTAATCAGTCTCTTCCTCAGCTGAAGGCTTTTCAGCAGGACGTTCAGTGTCTCGCGTTCGCTTCGACTTCCGTCTCCAAAGCCATGTCTTTTCCCCTGCAGCTTTCTCCTTCATCTTGTGCTTTTGAATCTCTGCCTCTATATGAGCTTGTCTGAAGTCAAAAATTCGAGTGGCCTCGACATACCTCGCTGGCGTTTCTCCTCGGCCATCGTATCAAGCTCCCGCTCACGCGCAATAGCCTCATATCGCTCCCTTTCTTCGGCATCCAGACGAGCCTCCAATTCCTTGGCCCTCTGCTTCTCGGCACGATCCGTGATCTCATCGAATGTTGGCTGAAGCCTCGAACGGGCGACCGCCTCCACATCAGCCATATCCATGTATCTTTCAGCGCCAATATTGACTCTGTCGGGTGGTTGGTAGGGCTCTCCTTCCTGCACCTCGCGTTGTGCCCGCTCAAGTGCTGCCTCCTCCCATTCTTTTTGCATCGATGGTGGAGGCCGGCCAGTTTCATTGTAGACACGCATCTCCATATCTTGGATGGTCGCGTTGACATTTCGCCTTGCGGCTTCCATCAAGTTGGCACGGTCTTTCGTTCTCTGTTCATCCACAGCATCGAGTCGCGATCGAAGGCTAGACATTTGGTACCTAATCTCCCTTGATCGCTCGGCATCAGCAGCTGATGTGTCCGAGTCGAAGGATGCTCTCCTGCGACGGATAGACAGGCTGGGCCGCGGAGCATGGGGTTCAACCCCATAATATTCCTGATAAGTTGGCTCATTCAGTTTGGCCAATTTCTCCGCAGCCCGCTGCTGAGCCGCTTCTTGCACTTTAATAGCCTGCTTAAGGGCCGTTGGATCGGACTTGGGAACCGTTTGCTGAGAGCGCATGCGGCTGTGGCCTCGCTGAGCACCGTAGAGGGCTGCGCTGGGCTCTCCTGTCTGTTCTTCCTCTCTTGCCTCCGTAATCTCGTACATATCGCGCGCCATCGAGATAGCAGCAGCTCGAAGTACGTTCTTTCGGTCTTGCTCCTCGAGCTTAATAGGAGGTTGCTCAGTGTAGAGTTGCGCGTTGGCAGTAGCCATGTGATGAATCCTGCTGGCTTCCAATGAGCTGTCAATATGTGCAAGTGGGCCTTCCACTTCCGGCCCAGGCTTCACACTGCCAGCCGCTGAAGCAGCATAAGGCGCCTCGGGGGCCATTGTAGGCTTGCTGGGTGCGGAGTCGGCCCTCTTCCTGCTGATTCGATAAGCGCCCGTAGCGGCACGAAGTGCCTTGTCCCTGTCCAAGCTTTCCCGCTGGATATCATAGACCTGGTCCGATGTCGTCGAGATGTCATGTTTGAAGCCAGTGGCCACTGGAGGAAGACTCGTGATGGTTTTCCGGTCTCTAACTGCGGTGATGGCGGCTTTGTACCCTTCAGAACTTGGTCGGGCCACGGGAGCCTCGGCGGTCCGTGTGTCCTGAGTCTGATATCCTACTGCGCTGGGCCTTTCAGGAGCTAAGCTCTCGCGAAGACTCCTCGCATGGGCCAGAGCAGCGCTCGCTGACGCATGGCTGAGGTTGAGCGAACCCGTCGCTTTTGGATCTCCTGTTTTAAGAAAACCCGGCGTCAGTAACGGTGCTCCTACATTGTAAGATCATCTCCTGGAATCCGGTGGCTATTTCTCACTGAATAATTGCGATTCAAAGGTAGCAGGTTCTCGAACGGAAAGTCTACGCTCGGGGTGTGTCACAAAGAGTGCGGCTGTCGCAGCTGTCGAATAATCGAGTCAATGAAACCCATTCTTCGTCGAGAAAGTGGAATAGTCAGAGATAGCATCTAGAACTTACCCTGATCAGCTAGCCGGGCAGACCGGGAACGCTGGAGGGAGACGCGATGGACTCCAGGATGATACTCAGTCGTAGCCATGATAAGATAAGGTATGCGCCGTGCTGCGGGGGGTATGAAATGACGGCGGATACAGGCATTCCCGATGAAAAAGCCAAAGGAAAAGAAGATGGATGGAAAGAAGATGATGAAAAGAAGTTATGGTCGGTGGCAGAGAGAAGAGTGGTGACGACCAGTGGGATGAACCAGCCGGAAGCTCAAGGGAGAGAGTCGAAAGAGGTGTGTGTCGTCTGTGACGTCGTTGGTTGCAGAGGGCAGATCCACGGATGTTACCTCTCGACGGTCATTGATTAAGCATTAAGCTTCGTCGATATCTCAACTCGCTGATGTCATGATGTCAATGGGGATATTTGCGATGAAGTTTAGAAAGAGAAGAAGAGAGTCTTCTCTTCAGCCCACGTTGTTGTGTCGATGTCGATGGTGTGTCGCGGCCGAGTCATGATTCTTCCATCCCACGTTCACATTCCTGTCTCGCCTCTCTTCCGTTTTCGACCGTGACGAAGATCTTACTACTATAGTGTTCTATTAATCTATATCTGAGATAACTGCATCATCTCCACTGTCTTTCTTTTTTAGCTATTTCTGGACTTAATCAATCTGTTCTACGTTGATTTCACAAGCGAATCCGCTCGATTGAAGCACAGGTTTCGAATGCACGCCGCTTTGCCTTCGAGTGGTCATTCTACACAATATTAAGAGGTGCTAATAATACTCGAAACAAGGCTTCAGATGGAGAGGTTAAAATTAGTGTAGTGCGGGCACATGGCGACTCATTAGGGTATTATAAATGACATCGCATAGGCGTTACTCCCATTCTATCATAAATCATCCGCCAATGATTACCAGAGATGCAGCATCTTCAAAATATTGTTACGCGTGAAAAATGACCGATTTCGTTTCCCGAAAATATCTGAGTAGCTCAGTTAGCTGCAGATGCAAAGGCTTTGAGTAGCTCGAAAGGATACTGACACATTGGAATGCTCAAGAGACAGACACCCATCTGAATACTGGAGATAGCTAGGAATGCCGGTCTGATCCCATTTGCGATGATCCAGTCATATGCGAAAAATGTCAGAACGAAACTGAATATGTTCTTGAAGATCAATAAGCACGTGAATGCTTCAACGGCGATTTGACCTGTATCACACCGTCATCAGCAACACTTTCCGCAGGCTTTGTCGTTTGGAAGAAGGCTTCAACTCACGATGTGCATCGACGATGTACAAGGCACTCGCGACGGCACCCATGACCATTCCTATGATGACAAAGGCAAAGAAGACGTCCACCACAAGCCATCCGTATCGTTCCACGTCCTCTGCCACGATCCCAAACCCGTAGAGACCAGCGCCGCTGAAGATCAGTTGGAAAATAACTAGCAAAATACGGAATTCGGGTTCGTATTTGCCTTTGTTGAGTTTTATCATGACCTTGTTCATCGAGTCCGAGAGCAGGCCAGACAGTACCAGGCCCACGATAGAGCCGATGAAGGCGCCTGTGTAGAGATACCCTGTCTGCACCTCGTTGAACCATAAAGGAGGGCCTAGGAAGATAGCAGCCAGGACAACACCAATGAAGACAGTCCAACCAATGAGAACGCCTTGTATCAAGCAAGCCTGTGGCAGTCAGAAACCGCTCTCACAAACGAATTGTGGCACAAGGTAAGCTTACCCAGAGGATCCCAGGGTGGAAAAATAGGGGAAATGGCCTCAAAAGCAGTTTGAAAAAGTTCTCATCTGTCTTCCGTCCATTGAATAGCTTCAGAGTTTCCCAGTACGTGGCCTTGCGAGGAATCGTAGATTCCTGACAGGTGCCGTCTTCTCCTCGAGAGGACGCTCCTTGCGGCTTCTCGTTTGCCCCAGATACAGACTGCTTCTGCTCTCCAGAGATTTGGCTCACTTCAGAAGTCGCATATTCGGGCGGCTGCAGTTGCGTATGTGACTGGCTTCCATCACGACGGTCGTCGAGATGCTCAAAGTCTGTGTTGAAATAGTCCGGGCGTCTGAAAGCCGTCTCAGGTATTAGGAAGATTGTCATGGGCAGAGCAGCGGCGGTAAAGATCGCCACCAGGTAAAACGTCCATTGCCAACTAAGCGAATGTGTGATCTTGCCAGCCAAAACCGGTGTGAGGAAGGCGGCGCCAAAGAGGGCAACATTCGATAAGGCCATCCGCTTGCCCCGTTCCTGTTATATTGGTCAGTCGAAATCCGTGAGGTAGCGCAGACGGAACCTACATGGACAAAGTATAGATCACCAACACAGGCATTTGTCAAAGCTTCGAATGGAGCCAGTGCGACTCCTTGAAAAATCCGGGACCAAAGAAGACTCTGATAATTCTGGCCGCTTCCTCCAGCCCATGCGCAGCTCGCGATCATCAGAATATTTCCAAGGATGAAAAGATGTCGCTTGCCCCATACTCGTGCAGTCGGTACTATTAGCACACCAGCGACACCCACACCGCAAAGGTGGTAGCCGGTGAGGAGGGCAACGGACGTGAAGCTTTTCCCATAGTAAAGAGCAATGGTCACGGTGTTGGCGGCCATGAGCGAGCTAGTTGTTGCGCAGAGGACTGAAACGAAGGAAAGCGCAAAGAGAATCGTATCGCGCCTCCATAACGGCCAATTCTAGCGGTGGTTCTCAGTATCGAGCTTTGCCAATTGTATTTCTTGACCTACCAGAGGATCGTTCGGGTCGTCGCTTGGCTGTGGTACTAAAAGTATAGGAACGTCGCCTGAGCGATCGTACTTGAGGCGAGAATCGATAGCGGCATGATCGTTCGTTCGGTCTTCGAGGATGTAGGATGTGCCTAGCGAGAATGTATCAAAAACAGTGATCCCGGGTGTACAAGCCTCTCCGTGACGATGCAGACCAGAGGACTTACCAGGGACATGATCGAGTACCTTGTCCTCGAGCACACCTAGACCCATATTGATAGGTAGCGAGGGGCTGTATGCCAACCCAAGCAATGTTCAGTGACTTGTGGCGGGGCGAACAAGACAGGTAGATAAAATTACGGAGGTAACATGGGCTTGCGCCTGAGCTAGAGGCTCAAGTCAGTGGCTAACAGTCGATGGAATACAATTTATTAATGACTGAAATTGTAGAGTAAGGGAGTAGGGATAAGGATCGCCTGTCAGGAACGAATACGAAGTTTCTGCCGAGGCGAGAGTACTACATAAGTGCCTAAGCCGTCCATCTTAGTACTGTGAGTGTGAAGTTTCTACGTCACAGGAGAAGGCTACGTTCATGAATTATCCTTGAAAATGAAGAGAAAATGCCAATGAAACCTCTGCAGTGTCGATCAGCAGGGGCATGAGGGACTGAATTTATGGGCGCAACTGTCTATGGTGCTTCACTGCTTACGCATGATCACAAGATACCACTGTCTATGTTGATTTTCTTAGCTGTTGGAAACTTTCTTTGCCCATCCATAGTGATCAACACAGAATAATATTGCCTGCTTGCTCTACTGTACCTTACGATTTATTGATTTTGATGTCCAGTACGCCACTCCACTCTACCCCTCTCATGGGTTGTGGATCAATGCCTATTGGGAGGTCGCACAGCATTCCCTGACATGATGGTCGATGTAAGGTACACTGGACCACTTCATACTCCGAGAGACTGGTACATGTTGATGCTCCTTGCGGCAATGAGTTCAGCGACGATCATCAGAAAAAGTGGTGTGAACTGTAAAGCAAAGCAATTAGCCTAAAATCATTTGATTTGAGTCTTGATACTGTCCAGGAATACATTAAGACTCTGCTAAGAATTAGTCTGAGAATGTGGTATTATTATTGAATGATTTCGTAGTCAGATGGTAAGGACTGAGGGGAAAGGTGCTGCTGTGAAGCCTGTGATGAACAAAGAAGGGTCTGAGCCTGGGAGCTGGGTGGAGCAACTGGAAGAGGGACCTCCGTCGAGTTGGTGGCTCCAGGCTAGCTATTTCACGGCTCCCTAATAGGCTAATGGGAGTGATGGCTCAGTAAAATCCGGGGATGAGCCAGATTTTTGAGCAAAAAAAGGCGGCCTGTGTGGGTCGAGCTGAAGGGACTATTTTTTGACCATTCGCTGGACCCTTTTAGTGCAAAACCATAATCATTGGAATTGCTGGAAGATGGGGTCTTCCGAATGACATTTGAGGGAGCACTCAGGGACCAATATCTATCTACACAGTAGTAGTCGATTCTCCCTAGTATTGTACGTTCCGTTGTGTTTCGTGATGAATGTCGATCTACTGATCTGCCAACAAATCATCTCACAGAGAGCAGCCCGTGTCTCGTACTGTAGAAACTGAAAATCGTATGTCCCAGAGTTGGTCATAGATAAAGTTTAAAAGATACCTTAGGAGAAAACAACACAAAGCATGCTGAAGCTATCTACTTGGGCCTAGAAACTTAATTGCAACTGAACAGCCATAGGCATGATGAATAACAAGGAGTCTAGAGCAATGATTTGTTCTGCTTGGCTGGATACGAACTACGAAGGCTTAATCAATCCCACCTGAAGTGGAGAAAGCAATGGAAAACTGGACATCCCTACCGAGACAGGATCATTATTCGCTAGAATCGCTAGTACTATGCTGAACATCGGGCTGCTGGCTAGGTAGATTGTCACAGCCTAGTTAGGTTATCACCCACTCCGTCTTGTTTTCACTCGTCACCTCACCAACACTTCTTCTACATCTTCACCTTCATCTTCTCTGCTCCTCTTCTCCTAACAGACCTTGCTTAAGGTACAAGATCCTGCGTTCCTACCACGATTCAATCATTGAACATCCTAGCCAAGTCCTCATCATGAAGCTTTACTCTGTCTCCCTTGCTCTTGCGGCTTGCCTGAGCATGGTAACTGCCCAGGGCCTTGACGGTCTGCCTGATTGTGCTGTAAGTGTTGCCTCTCACCGTTGTCATTGATAGCTATCCACAATTCTACAGACTTGCTTTTATGCCGCAGAGTGATTGATACACGACTGATGAACTGAGATAGAAAACATGCGCTACGGGTGCCATCCCCGCCAACTGCGGTCTTGACGTCAAGTGCATCTGCAGCGACTCGTCCTTCCTTTCGGGTATTTCCTGCTGTATTGCCGGATCATGCCCTCAGGACCAGCAGCAGGGTAAGTCTCTCATTTCTTGCTGTTCTCGGCGCTTGCACGCTTGCTGTAGAAGAAGCTCACCCATTCTTTTCCCCAGCCGCCGTCCAATTTGCGAACCAGATATGCAAAGGCGCCGGTGTGACCAACTTGCCTCAGTCTGCCAGCTGCGCGAGCGCAACTCAATCTGCCACTGGCACATCCTCTGGTTCGTCTGCGACTACTTCCGGATCCTCTGCGACCACTTCTGGTTCTTCCTCCAACACGGCTACCAACGAGTCCAACACCACCGGCCATAGTTCGACTGCGTCCCAGACCGCTGCAACTGCAACCACTTCCACCACTGGCAGCAGCAGCTCTGGCTCCGCGACCTCATCTGCTAGTTCGACCGCCAATACCAATGCCGGGGCTGCCATTGCTCAGCACAAGGACATTGGTCTCATTGCGGCTGCCGGTGCGGCGGCTGCGGCTTTCGGCTTGCTCGCTTAAGGGACATGTGATTCGCGTCGTGGGTCGAGTGACGCTCTTTGTCATCTTGATGAGTTACAAACACGAGCTGAATGTATTATGAGGAAAATGAAGTGCAATATGGCAACTGGCAAGTGTTCATAACTGCAGGCCAATTTCCGCAAAGCTTCAACTTGTCTTGTGACTTTTATGAAGATTTTGAGGGGATTTGTTTCTGCTTTGAGCGCATATGCTAGCTTAACAGTCGGCAGACAGGAGCTTTCGCTGTAATCTATCAGAATCGCTGTGCGATCGAAGAATTCGTCGTCATTTTCCAATAGATGGTGCCCTGTAGATCATGTCCACCGCCTGGACCCCATGCGCATCAAACGAAAAAACCGAATAACCCCGTCTATTCTTCCCGTTCCACGAAACGAGCAGCTATTTCCTGCCGCTCCTCGCGGAGTGTGATGAAAATCTACCACTGATCAGCAGAACTCAAAAGTCATGGCCAGCACACGGACAAGACTTACCCAAAGCCAGAACATCATCTCCATAAACCCGTACGTAAATACAACCCTATTCTTCAGCTGGTCCAAGCCCGACGTCGTCTCCACCGACCCATACCCACCTACCCTGCGCGCGGCATCCACCCCCCAAGCATCAGGTTTACTCTGGTAGATAAAGAACGAGACAACAAAGAACAGACAGAACCGGGCTGCCGAAAGCAAAGTCCAGATCTCCGAGTAGAGCGAGGCGAGACGCGCCGCGAAGGGGTTTTGCATCGCGCTGGACATGGGGATGGCGGATTGGTTTCTGGCCGCTTGGACCATGGCCACGAGCTCGTTGACCCGTGGGATTTTTGCGACGATGATCAGGTCGACGAGGGCGTCGGCGACGAGGAGGATGCCGCATAGCGCGAAGGGGGATTGAGGACGGGAAAGGGACGGGGCTGCATCCTGTCCGTGTCGTTGAACTGTGTCAGTTTGATTGAGGCGGGATTTAGGATGGCCACGTGGATTGGATAAGGTCAAAGAATCTGCGACGTACGATCTGTAGGACTTCTCCTATCATGAAGACAACGTCTGATTCGGTGACAATGCTTGGAGATTTGGTCAGGTACACGGCCAGAACAAACAGAAACAGGGCGTGTGCCTGAATGAGCGTCTTGGAGGAGAGAAGAACCATATTAGACAAAGGTAGAGGAGATAGAAAAAAGAAGAAAAGGAAATCCTATATAGAAGTCACAGCAGTAGCTGCGTATAAATCTGGGAGCTATCGATGCTTTATCGTTCATGTTCTTGACTCTGTAGCTTCCACCACTTTTTTTCCCCTTTGATGTCTGGATCCTTGTGGGGTTGCCGCTGTTAAGTCCGGAGTCCGCCCGCAAAATAATAATGATAACAATGAAGGCGCAATTCAGAGCCACGGACTCAATGAGCTCACTTCTTCGCTTGTTCTTAGCTGTACCCTTGATTTGACGTGAGCAAGCAGATGCGACATTTGTCAAGTCCGGCAACATGACAGAGGCTGTCTTCAACAAGGAACGTCACATTAAATATTACCTCCGCTGTCTCAAGACATTCCTCCCCCACCAATACACTTCCAACGACTCCAATCGCATGCTCCTCGCCTTCTTCACAATCTCCGGACTGGATATTCTAGGCGTACTTGACAGCAAAACCACCGCCGAAGAACGTAAAGGGTACATAGACTGGCTCTATCACTGCCAGGCTCCATCGGGGGGCTTCCGCGGGTTCACGGGAACAGATTTTGGGATTGACAAGCGCACTCCGGAGAACGAAGCTTGGGACCCGGCGAATGTCCCGGCCACATTCTTTGCGCTGGTATTGCTACTCATCCTGGGCGATGACCTGTCGAGGGTGAAGCGAGTTGAATGTCTTGAATGGTTGCCCAAACTTCAACGCGAGGATGGCAGTTTCGGAGAAGTGCTCGGCCCTGGGGAAGAGGTCAAGGGTGGTCGCGACTTGCGGTTTTGCTGCTGCGCAGCTGGAACGCGATATATTCTTCGAGGAAGGAGCGGGCAAGGCCTTGAGGGTGTGAGCGATATTGATGTGGGCAGGCTGGTGGAATTCATTCAGGCGTGCCAGGTTTGAGAACTCCTCTGTGTTGGGTTGTGGCCGTGAATGGCTGATACTTGAATCTGATAGACATATGATGGGGGAATGTCGGAAGCGCCCTTTTGTGAATCCCACTGTATGTGCAAAAACTCTGCCATTAGAGACTGATTTTGACTGACGACAGCTGGTCTGACCTATTGTGCCATTGGCGCTCTAACCTTCCTTCGTCGTCTTTGCCCAGACCAGGAACACATGGCGCTTCTTTCTCCCGGGAGCTGGGAATTCGAACATTTGCTCAAATGGCTCGTCTCGAGACAGACGTCCGATTTGGGTGAAGAGGAGGAGTCAGACGAAGAAGATGATGACTCCCCTGTACAGATTGATGGTTTACAATATGATGCAGGCAACAGCAGACTAGAGGAGAGAGTCGACTTGCTTCCTAATCTTCCCCCGCCAACAGAGGAATCTCTGCATTGGGCGGGTTTCAATGGGCGATGCAACAAATATGCCGATACATGTTACTCGCTTTGGAATACGGGTACGCTCGTAGTATGTGTTTACCGATCTTAGCGATGTTGAATGCTACTAATTAACGGGACTAGATGATGGACCGACTATCTCTTGTCGACCAGCAGCGCAACCGCCAATATCTGCTCGAGAAGACACAGCACATTATCGGCGGGTTTGGGAAAGGCATTGGTGAGCTTCCAGGTGAGATCTCCGAGCTAATATACCATAGAAGAAAGATTTTGTTCTAACGGATAATGCAAGATCTTCTACACTCGTTTGCTGGGCTGGTATCTCTCGCTTTCCAAGGCGAAGATGGCCTGAGTAGCGTAGATCCCGCATTATGCGCCAGCGACCGGGCAGCTCAACACATGAAAAGTCTCCCCTGGTGGCAAGAGACGAATTGATGCTCTAAATTATGCTGGATGGATATCGAAATAGCACGCTGTTCATATTATCCAAGGTCGTAGCCTGGGCTGGAAGTCTAACACATTTATACCCCGAGTCGTTGACTTTTCATTTCATGACACTCCAGAGCGATACGTCGCTCCTAGTTGATCTTTGAATGGGAATGAGTTTGAACAATAATATTCGGCAATCCAAAACGCAAGCGACGGAGGCTAAAGTGTTCTAGAAACCGGGGAGTAAGTTAGGAAGCCCGTGTCACCCACCGTTAGGGGAGCCGTCGTCGTCATACTATTCTCATTCAGGGGCTCATTTAGTGACATCCATTCAGGACCACACGAGCAGCACTGTGACGATATCAGTATAATCAAGAAAAAACTTGCTACACCAGGTAGATGTAAAGTGAAGAACTGACCGCTCCTGTAAGGGATCCTTGTGTATGTGGCGTCAACCTCGTCGGGTGATTGATATTGGGATGATGATGATGTCGAGAGACTCGAAAGTCGAAACGGCGCACGTTCCCTCCTGCAAATGAGCATCATACCTAGTCTGTTTGTCCTCTTACTGGGCTGTCAGTGAGTGTGGTTCATAATGAATTATCCATCAATTGACTTCTGGGAAATTGTGAGCACTGCCCGTACGCCGTAGACGATTCTGTCAAATATCAGATTCCTGAGAAAACAACTAACCAGTCTAATAATACGTAGTTCTCCCCTGGTTCATCGTCATCATCATAAGGTATGTAATACTACCTCCAGATGGCCCCCTGTTGGCTAGATAGGTAGTAATAAGAAGGACGAAAATAATAATCGTCATAATTATTGCGATTCAGAATCAGTAGATAGATAGACGGTTGTCCGTTGACACTCGAAACAAATCGACTTCTTGTTTCATCATCGTCTCCGGCAAATCCAATCGATATAGATTAGCTTCTTCTCCTTTCTTGACCATCTCCCAATCTTGTCTTTACAGCATCTCTTTCCATCTTGATATTCCGGTCTGTTTACTAATAATAATAATAATATCTGAGCTTCTCATCTTCAAGCCACTCCGACCTTCTTCCGTTCCTTTTCCACAGTTGCCGTTCCGTCCATCCTCCAATACCACGTCGTCCTGCTGGAACCGAAATTTCCGCCTCGGACAGGCGAATTTTCTGCGTGCTTCTTATATCCCCCTGCGAACCCTCTCTCTTCATTTGTGGAGACTTGAACGAGCCAAAGCCGATTCCCAACTGCTAAACCACATCGATTCCATTTTGCCCGGTCCGTCCGTCTATGCCATCCGCGCTCTACCAGCCATCTTCCGCGCCGCCGTCAGTCGCATCCAACTCCTTGTTTTGCTACACCTCTTCGGGCTTCGTCTCCGTTCGTCCCCCTGATCGTGATACTCCTCCCCTGCCCCGCCTCAGGTTGGATGTCAGTCCCAAGCGGTCGTCGTCGTGAACAGTCTTTCGTCACAACGGCCCATCGTGCGAATACATCATCTCCGCGGGAATCTCCATTTAGGCGGAGACGATCTCATAACACATGCCGCCGGCCAGGACAAGAGCGGAGGTTCAATCCCAGAAACAAAAGGAAAAGGTTCGTCTAAGCCATTGATTTTTGGATGCATCATAAAACGGTCAACCTAAGGCTCGCATCTTATTCGAGACCCCACATTCGAACTCTATTAGACCAAAAATTGTCAACTGGCTGGATCATTGCCAACCTCTTGTCATTACGCGGTCTCTCGTTGGTCCTAATGTTTCCCATCTCATAAATCCCCAGACGTTTGATATGCTGCTTGTTTCGCCCTACGGTGCTGTTGAAATGAAAGTTGGCTGACTTTTGGCGATTGCGCCACGCCGTAATAGCTCGCCCAATCATACCATGAGTTGTTGGAGTAAGCAGTTACTCTTATACCCCAAGCTCTGCCAAAGCCCTACGATACTAAACAACCCTCCGTTTCCAGGGAGTTCTCGTCGAAGGACCTTCGAAGCGTTGGTAACTACACTCTTGGGAGGCTGATTGGGAAAGGCTCCTTTGGCAAGGTTTATCTTGCTTCCCACAAGCTCACCAATGGCTCCAAGGTATTATCCGCCCCAGCTGCCGACATAAGAGGCAGAGCTATTCTAATCGGATTCGTCGATAGGTTGTGCTCAAATCCTCCAGCAGGGAGGACACGAACCTGCCACGCGAGATTCATCACCATCGCCAGTTCCTCCACCCGCATATCGCCCGTCTCTATGAGGTTATAGTGACAGAAAAGCTGGTTTGGCTGGTACTCGAATACTGTCCAGGTAGGGAACGGTTGCAACGTGATGCAGTCGGCTACCGCTGACAAGATGATGCGCAGGCGATGAACTCTACAATTACCTTCTCCGCCATGGCCCCCTCCCAATCGACAAAGCCAGGAGGATATTCACACAGCTAGTGGGCGCAGTCGCATACGTGCATAGCAGGTCATGCGTTCATCGCGATCTCAAGTTGGAGAACATCCTCCTCGACAAGCACGAGAACGTCAAGCTCTGCGATTTCGGTTTCACGCGAGAGTATGAAGGCAAGGCAAGCTACCTACAGACTTTCTGTGGTACGATATGCTATAGTGCACCTGAGATGCTGAAGGGCGAGAAGTATGCCGGAGAGAAGGTGGACGTATGGAGTTTAGGCATCATCCTGTATGCGCTTCTCGCCGGGGAGCTGCCGTTCGACGAAGACGACGATCAAGTCACCAAGAAGAGGATTCTCACCGAAGAGCCAGTCTTCAACCATAAATTCCCCGACGATGCCAAGGCCCTCATCAACTTACTCCTGTCCAAGCGACCTCTGATCCGCCCTAGCTTAGCCGATATACTGGCCCATCCATTCCTGGCAGAGCATGCTCCGGAACAGCAAGCGATCCTGAAGATTCCTCGTCCAGCGCCTTTCTCGACACCCTTGGAAAAAACTACACTCCAGCGGATGAAGAGTGCTGGTGTCAATGTCGACGAGGTCATGGAGAGCGTTCTTGCTCAACGATGCGACCCGCTCGCCGGTTGGTGGGCTCTCTTGATTGAGAAAGAGCAGCGCAAAGAGCTACGGAGGGAGCGCAAGCGACGGGAACGAGAGGCCGAAGCGAAGAACTTGCGGCGACTTAGCGCCGCTAGTAGCCGTTTGGAGAAGATCTCAGCTGCACTTCTTGAAGTGGATGAAGAAGGACATACCTCTTCGGGCACATTGCTTCACGAACGAGGAAGAAGGGACAGGCGCAGTCTGCCCTCTCAGCTCGCTGTCCCGGAGTTGCCAATGCTCCCTGAGCCGATTCCGATGCAGTCTCCGGATGTGACCACCCCGCCGCCGCCGCCCCCTCCCATCGACAAAGACTCGATCCGATCAGGCAGCTCAACAAGACGTCGACCGGTACCCCCTCCAAAAGATAGTACGCGACGGCCAAGCACTCTGCATGCTAGTGCGTCGCAGCCGGAATTGGCACAGCACAATGGTATCCTCCGGCGTCGAACTGGACGCCGTCAATACCCGATCATCAGTCAGCTCGCATCGCTGAAACATTGGTTAATGGAATCTGCGAAGAGGGCAAAGTCTCCTCATCCCAAATCAGCAGGGGGAACGGGAGTGCATCGCAAGTTCTTCTCCGACAGACTGAGTCCGGGGAAGGGGCAAGAAGCCGGGAAGAAACAAGCGCCAACCTCACCAGATATCCCCCCTTCAAGCGATCTGGTGACTCCGACGCAAATCAAGCGCGCATCTAACGCCAGTAGCCTTGCGCCAAGCAACACCTCCTACTCCAACCATCGTCATTCATATCCGCGACAACCCCGGCCGCTGAGTACTGGCTATCCGAGCCATCGTAATTCCCTCTCTCCGTCTCCTATCACGCCAAGAGGCTCCTACAGACGATCCTCCACGGGACTACGAGGCCGCAAATCCACCTCGTCTTCTGTCTCCTCAATCCGAAGTATTCATCATACGCACACTCACTCCAAGGCGTCTTCTGTCTCCTCAAACAGCATTGGATCCACATCGACCCCAACAGCTCGGCCCTCGAGATCCCCGCACTCCTCGATCAAAGTTCTTCCTACGACACCCAGCGCCTCTGCACGCTTTCCCAGTAACATTCGTCTCGTACGGAATGCAAACAATGGATTCCGTGAGGCGCACGATGCGAACGGAAGGATGCAATCTGTTTTCAACGAAGTAGCACCCGCGCCGCTGCTCTACTCGCCATCCAGCAGCCTTGTGTTTGCCAGACGCAAAAGATCTGCGTTCAAAGGTCCTATGATACACACAGCAAATCTCATGGCCCCTGGTGGATTGCCCGCACCGGAATTCCCACACGACAATGCTACGACGGATCAGGCCCATGATCCAGGCAAGGCTCGGGCTGCAACGCGGAAAAGTCAAATAATTGAAGAAGAGGAGGATATGGCGGAGGAAGATATCGAGGAAGTAGAGACTTTTGACGGTCCAGATGAGGATCCAGGCTCGCCAGTGGACGCTATCATCAGGCCGGAAGAAGAGAGTAAACCTTTTGAATGTTTCAGTGGTTCACCGGGCCAGTGTCAAAAGCCATCGCTCGCCCCTGCGCCGGACATCGACTCGAGCCCACTTCGGCCCCCTCGCTCTTCCTCCCTGAAAGCATCGAGAGCAGACACAGCAGATGCGCCAGCTTTGCGCGGCGAGGACAGCAAAACCGTTGTTGTCACTTCCACAAACGCTGTGGCTCCCTAGGGTTCGTGTCGTTCATCGAATTGGACAGACGAACAAGTTCCATGTCAGGTGACCAATGACCTCTCATAGAATCATTTATTTGTTTTGCACTAGCCTTTATACCCCTTTTGCGGCATTGTGGCATCGGCTTTCTTGAATACCTGTATTACATTTTGGATTTGGTGGAGATACGAACGGTGTACGCCTTTTTCATCGTCTGCCACGAACTCATTCATTTTAGCTCTTTTCCTTTCCCCTCCGATTGAACCTTCCTTCATCCGGTTTCTCTCCTAATACAATCTCTTCCCTCTGTACCTTGCTGATCTCTTCTGCTGCTGCCTTTCGTTTCCTCCGACCATGTTCCCGATGTGGAGATACCCTCGATTTTGACTCATTTTCGTTTTCCCCTCCCTGCCTTGTCATAACTGCTCGGGCTGGTACCCGATTGAGCACGGAGATGATATTTAGCGCACAGCGCATTCATCGCGGAAAAACGCTGACAGTTCATTCGAGCTGTTTGCTTCTGTTTATTTGACTTCCGTCATACACATATGTTCATATAGATAGAGTAGATTTCGTCCAATCTTGTTACCCAATAGACATGCCGGCCGTTAATGTTGATTTGAACAGTTCGCAGTAGGTATAGGTCATAACGTATCATTACACTCGTCGGAACTCCAAGTCTACTTTCAATTGCCATCATCAATTCTCAACGTGGACCCCTGCAGACTTCTCCATTCCCTCCGCCTCCACGTCCTTCATCGCGGCAGCGCCATCACCCTCGCTCAACCCGATCTGGCTGTCGCCGACCTTGTCCATCGTATCGCGGTACGCAGGCACAAAGTTGACGGCGACAGCGTACGTCCACGCAATGACCATGAACATCGTGGGGACAATCATGGCGAACCCCGTGCTGTTGCGCATGTCGGCCACATGGCCCAGGATGGGCGGCACGACGGCACCACCGCAGACACCGCCAACGATGAAGCCAGACCCGCGCTTGTAGTGCCGGCCCAGACCGCGGATGCCCAGTGCGACGATGGTGGGGAAGCAAACGGATTCGAAGAACAGGGTGAGGAAAAGCATGGCTGGTGGGTATCAGTCATCAATCAGCATCATCTTTTTTTTTTTTTTTTTTCTTGCGAGCGAATGGTAAAGGAGGGAGAGCGCATACCGATGCCACTCTGATTCCTTTGGGTGATGGACGCAGCGATGAACGCCACCACACCCGAAAGATATACCAGAAAGACCCAGCGCGCACGGATGAATTTCATGAGGAACGCGCCGAGGAAGCGGCCGACGGTGAAGGCGCCCTGCGCGCCGGCGAGGTACTTGGACCCCGTGGAGCTCGCGGTGCCAGGCCAGGTTTCGACGGCGTAATTGATGAAGTAGCCTGCGATGGCGACTGTCGTGTCTGTTAGATAGTGCGGTATGCTTGCTATGTGTAGGATGGGGCTGACGCACCTTGGGCACCGGTGTATGTAAATTGAGCCAAGGTGGCATGGAACAGCTTGTATTGCTTCCAGAGTGGCTTCTCCTGCTCGCCGACGTGGGTTTCAGCGACTTGGAAGGCCATGTCCTCATCGGTGACTTCGGGGATGTTGGATAGGAAGAAGACCCCAGCAAGAAGGAAGACGAAGATGCCGATGGCGAGATAGACCCATTGCACGCTCTTCAATGCCGCTACATCGTCCTGGGTCTCAGTGAAGAAGACGTATGAGGCCAAAGTTGGAGCGACGCAGGTGCCGATGCCGTTGAAAGCCTGGGCAAGGTTGATTCGCATTTCGGCGTACTTCGGTGGTCCACAGACTATCGAGTGCAGTTTAGCACGACCTGCCTTTTGTTTCTCTTGATGTGCGTTCATTATCTCTACTGACCGGTGAGGTAGGGATTGGCAGCCGTCTCTAAAGAACCCAGCCCCGACCCGATGACGAAGGTAGCCGCGCAGAACCCTCCAAAGGATCGATTGAGGCCGGCCGGCCACATGCAGAGCGCTCCGATACCATACAGGGTCAATCCGAAGATGAAGACGGCTTTGTATCCGTAGTGACGTAGAATCCAGTTGGCATAACCCAGAGACGCGAGTGGATATGCCCTTGCAGCCAGTCAGTTCCACGACACCTCAAGAAAAAGGTGGCATTGGATATGTCCAGGGCAGCTCGTACCCAAAATATGCGGCCTGAAGGCCCGAGGAACGAGTCCGGGTGATGTGAAGTGTATTCTGGAAATGCTTGTTAAGAGTATCTAGCAGTCCATAGGCGAAACCCTACACATGGAACGTGATCGGCATATATTCTTCAATTCGATAGTCAATCCAGGCACCGACTCACCCACAGAAAGAAGAGAATCGTGACCAGAGCGAGGGGCCACAGACTCTGACGCAAGGTGAGCGTAGCTGCAGAGGTGGTACTCTTATTGTTGACCCGGAGCCCGGAGCGGGATTTGAGAAACCGTGCGAACCCCATTTCAGCGATTGGGGAAGTTGATGGTCTGCTGCTGTCTTGTAAATGAGCCCTTCATAAAGAAAAACAAGGAAGAGGAAAGAGGGGAGGGTGGGAAAAAGAGAGGCAGTGACCAGGGTGACTCGACTAGCCAGACCTTTATGTACTCCAACGGTACGCCATCATCTGTGCTACCGCAAAGCGAAGATGATTGCTCTCTTGGTAGTAGTGCGTTATCAAGGTCACAGTGGCCGGCGGTCACATCCCACATGGCTCGCCAATGGCACCCTGTCCCATTCTCTCATTTTCTGGTCTTGTCTCAAAGCGAAAAACGACCTCAAACGGCTTATCAGGACATCAGGCAATTTGCCCAAGGAACGGCAGAAATCCCACTTTTCCCAAGCAGGAAGCCACAGCATTTGCTGCGAGATGAATACGGTTTCGATGGTGCAACCGTACGGAGTATACCCTCACTCGCTCATCCCCAGACTTCTGTTTCTCCGCAGTCTGGGGAAGGATCGTCGGAGAGATTCCACCACTAAGACTCGCTGGTAGCGTGCGAGTCTCCAGTCTAGAGATTCCCAGAAGGGTCGACGATCATTCAACAGGCGGCCCAATCGCCCAAAGTGTTTTAGGTTCGGGGTGACATTCCTCGGAAAGACCGAGGTGGCAGAGAGTTCAGTATCACTTGGCATTGATCCGGTGGGGGTTGTATGCCTTTTCCCCCGCATTTGTAGTGGTTGAAATGGTCTAAGGTTATCAACCGGTTAATTTCAGGGAGGATGCGATTGTTAGCTTGCGCGGTAGGCGTCGCTGGCTGAAGTGGCTGAAGTGGTACGGAGTATGGAGTAAATTTTCCTCAGGTGATGCTGATTCCTCAAAACCCCTGAGGCATCCTGAGGCATCCTGAGGCATCCTGAGGCAACAACCAAAAACATCAAAGTATCTACTCATCACCACACATCAGGATCTAGTCGTTTCGTCATTTCTATACGTTAGGATCATCTAGATTTATACATATATACTTTCAGATGCCTCACGAAAAAGAAAGAAAGAAAAGAATGACAGGACTAATTCGCAAGGTCAATGTCTATATCTAGTCATCAACATGCCCGTTGGGCATCACTTCGTCAACCAACGCCTACGCCTTCTTGGGCTTGAATGCTACCCCATTCTGATGCTCCCCTGCATTTGCAGGAAGAGTATACAGGCGGCGCTCAGCATATTTGAGTAGCTCATCAATGGCCCTTCATAGACAGTTAGCAACAGCTTGGCTCGGAACGAGGACGGATGAGGGCAGGGCTTACACAACAGGGGCGCTGATGGCCAGAACCGCCTTCCATTCAGTCAAGTTCAAAGGCAAAATAGAGAACAATGACTGCAGGAATGGGATATACAGAATGGCGAAATGGAGGGTCATTGACAGAATGATGGCGAACACCAGCATCATATTGTTCCAAAGAGGGAAGGCGAAGAGAGATTCGCTGGACGAGAGCGCGTTCATGGCGTTCAGCATCTCAATAACCACAAGGATTGAGAGCGACACAGTGGATGCGGACCGCGACATATCGTTGGTGAATATTTCACAACCGATCTCGGGGAACTGAGCGGAGCATTTGTGAAAGTGGGACTGCAAATATGAGTTAGACAGGCCCGAAAAGACACCACTGAGAAGATTGGCTTACCAGCTGCCAGAAGGAGATCTGAGGTCCCTCTGGATTATAGACAAACCACCATACGTAACCAAAAACAGTAGCAGCACCAACGTACGTGCCGATGACCAGGTATCTGAAAAGTAGCCAACCACCCACAAGAGGCTCATCGCGCTTTCTGGGCGCACGTCTCATCACGTCATGGTCTGGAGGGTTGAACGACAAGGCGGTAGCAGGCAACCCGTCAGTGACCAGGTTCACCCAGAGAAGCTGGACAGGGATCAATGCTTCGGGCATGCCCAGAGCTGCGGTCAAGAAGATAGATACGACCTCACCAATGTTTGAAGAGATCAGATACCGAATAAATTGCTGGGTGTTGCTGTAGATCGATCTGCCCTCTTCAACGGCCACGGTGATCGTCGCAAAGTTGTCATCGGTCAAGACCATATCAGCGGCCAGCTTAGCAACATCCGTTCCCGTACCCATGGCAACACCAATATCGGCCTTCTTCAAAGCAGGAGCATCGTTGACACCATCGCCAGTCATTGCAACCACATGGCCCAGAGATTGAAGAAGGTCGACCAGCTTGGACTTGTGGCTTGGCTCGGTACGTGAGAACAGAGACGCCTTCTTGACGGCCTCAAGCTTTTCACTTTCTGAGAGACTGTCGAATTCCCTGCCTGTGAAGCTCTTACCCGTAAGGTCCTCATCCTCACCAAAGACACCAATTTGACGGCAGATAGATTCAGCAGTGTTGCGGTTGTCACCGGTGATGACAATCACGCGAATACCAGCGGCACGGCATTGCTTCACAGAGTCAGCGACCTCGGTGCGTGGAGGGTCCAGCATTCCAACAAGGCCAATCAGAGTCATGTTCCTTTCCAGCTGAGCGTACTCCTCGGTGGTTTGGGCATTGTGCAGGAGCGGGTTATCCGCGATATCGTCAACACTAGCCAGAGCAATGACACGCAATCCACGGTTTCCGTATTCGACAACTTCCCTAGAAAGAAGATCATTGTACGCTTGGGTGAGAGGGACACGGGGTCCATCAGATCCCAAAAGGACATACGAGCAGCGTTCGAGGATCGATTCAGGGGCGCCCTTGACCAGAAGCCTCTGAGCCTTGTCCTTAGTGACAAGGACAGACATACTCTTGCGGTCGCGGGAGAATTCGTACGTAGCCAGCAGTGGTAGGCGTGATGCGTAGTGGGCACTCGAAACGTAAAGTCTCTGAGAAGCTGGCAGTCGGAACACCTTTTCGTTGGTAGCCATGTCATCAGTGCCGATCTTTTCAACCAGGACCCTCAATGCTCCTTCAGTAGGTTCACCGATGCAGGAGAAAGTGCCACTCTTGGCGTCATGGGCGAGGGTAGCGCCGTTGCAAAGTGCCATAACTTCAGCCATCTGATGAACGGTAGACGAGGTTACAGCCAGGTTCTGTAATACCTTCCCATTACGAGAGAGGTTGCCCTCGGGAGCAAAAGTTGTGCCCTCGACGTCTATCTCCTCCAGGTCATCACCGGATGCATTGAGGTAAACAAGCTTTTCCACGCTCATCTGGTTAGTAGTCAAGGTTCCAGTTTTGTCGGAGCAGATCACACTGCAGCTACCCAAAGTTTCGACGGAAGGCAAAGACCGAACGACGGCGTTCTTAGCCGCCATCTTGCGCGTACCCAGAGCCAGACAGGTGGTGATGACCACCGCCAAACCTTCCGGAATGGCAGCGACACCCAGAGAGACCGCAATCTTGAGATAGTAGATGGCACCCTTGGCCCAGCCCCCATGAGACGGGTCGTTGAAGTGCTCAACATTGATCACCCAGACAAGAACACAGATGACGGTGATCACCTTCGCCAGCATGTCACCAAAATCGTTGAGTTTCTGCTTAAGCGGCGTCGGCTCAGAGATCTGGGACGTGATACTATCGTGAATGCCACCAATAGCAGTCGATCCACCAGTCAACACAACAATGGCAGTAGCATGGCCGTTGACAACCGATGTGCCCGAGAAAAGAATATTTGTTTGGTCTTGCTTGACGGCCTGTTCATCCTTGATGGCACGAGTATCCTTGGCGACACTCTCGCTTTCACCCGTCAGGACCGCTTGGTCAACCCGGAAACTGTTGCTTTGAATAGCTAGCAGCCTGCAGTCGGCCGGAACGCGGTCACCAACTGCGATGTGGATGATATCTCCGGGAACGAGATCTTCCGCCTTAATGCGCTGAGTCTTGCCATCACGAACCACTGTCGCTTCGTTTGCAGAGTATTCCTGAAGAGCAGCAATTGCCTTTTCCGCGCTGCTCTCCTGCGTGACACCAACCACGGCATTGAGGATCAGAATGGTCAGAATCTAAGTTGGCGTATTCACAATTAGCTCAATTCTTCAAAGCAGCACCTTTGTACAAGGGGAATTTGTAGAACGTACCACAACAGGGTCAACAAAAGCCGTCCAATCGTCACTTTCCTCGAAAAGAGCCAGTACAAAGGACACGGCAGCGGAACCTAAGAGGATGAGGACCAGTTGATCCTTGAATTGTTCTAGCACAAGTTCCCAGAGAGGGGTCGGTGGATCTTCCGCGAGAGCTTCATTGTTCATAGACACCGGTCAGCTTGGATCACTCTGTGCGCTGAGTGTAGAGGTGGGGGAGTACCGACCATTTGGACCATACTTCTGCCTAGATTTCAAGACCTGATCCTGGGACAGGCCAGTGTGCTCCGAGACTTCAAAGTGCTCCAGCACTTCTGCTGGGGAATGGAGAAAAGACCGCTCCATTGTCAATCACACCTCGGATAATTGACCGAGCCTGGGGAGCAGAAGAAAGAGCGGGAGAGGAAAGAGAGAAATAGGAAGAATGAACCCGAAGAAATATAAAGAGAGAACGTGGTCTACCGAGTCAGCAACATGAATGCCAAGTGGCCGGATGGACAAGATCGTAGTAGACCAGGTTAGGTAAGTGTACTCTAGAAAGCCTAGATAGAAGTCGGGAAGAATCTAGAAGGAAGGGGGAAAAGAGATCAATAAATATCCGAAAGAAGGACTTAACAAAACAGAGAACGATACAAGAGAGAAGATCGTTCAACAGGTTTATCGAATGAAAATGACTATTCTGACATTCTGAGTCAAATAAGAGGGAAATTCGTATCCTACCCTGTCGAGGCAAATAGATCTTTGCCCCAGGCACTGAAGGCAGAATGATGCAGTTTGGCTGTTCAACGTGTTCTCTTTTTTTTGGGCGGTGACTGTTTTGCTCACAATCACTGGTCACTATTGGATCCATCCACAGACCCCCGGTAATCCACGCTGAAGGACAAGCCGGAGGGCTATCTACAGGGCTGAACCGTATCAAAACATTTTTATAGACTATCATGTATTCTATGTCGAAGATCTCTCAAGATTCAGTTAATCTAATGTGGTGATTTATTTGATGGTCTGAATGGGAGTTGCAGTTCAGATCTGACAAGGCAGATACAGTCAGCTCACTATCTTATCTGGATACTTACAATCAAGTACCTATGGCTTGAGTACAACCAACAAAGGTGATGATGAGCACAGTTGGTAGATTCTGCTCCTGTTGGATGTTTATTCACTGCTCAAGATAGAAATCTCGTCTATAACCACTTGTAAACGTGTTTCACCGACATACGACCTAGCATAGTCACCAAGCTCCACTGAGAAATGATGATGCCTTGAGGGGACCCATGCTAAGAAACCCCGGTCCGTTCCATGTCTCTTTCGACGCACGTATGAAGCTGATATCTATCTGCACCATGGACGAAATGGAGAAGCTTCTGTCATGATTTGGATAGTAGGATGATGTCTTGTTGATGATTTTGTTCTAGGACTGTGTGGCCTCGGATCCCTGGAGACTTTCCACTGGTAGACACAGTGGCCAGATACAATCCTGCTTGAGATGCCTGGTGGAGAACTTACCATTAGTTTAGCTAGTGACAGCTTTAAAGATGCAGATGCTTTTGCCTTCTCTTCTTTGCCTTCGATGAAATCCACAACGCTCGCGCATTGAGTCTTGTACTTACTGTGCACATGTTACCTGGATTGCCGATTGGGGGCTTAGGCCCTCGATTTGGATGTAATTCCCAGTAGAAAGCATCTCGTTTGATTGTACATGAGCTCCAATGTCGAAGGCCATTTTCATTCAGCAAAGGCTCAAGTCGCTGGCACCGTCAGGACATGGAATTGTTGAAATGGCCATAGAATGAGGCCTGGTCATAATTGCTTCTTCCATTCATAGCACGAGGACTCATACGCAGTGCTGATAAGCACCCCTTCAGAGTGCGACAGACGTAGGACAGCAAGCATGACAGAAACTGGATCTGTCAAGTAGATTCACTCGCTCAAATCAAGGGCCAATGGTGAATGTTGTCATGGCCGTCTCACTGCATGACTGCAGGCACCTGGATGCCTGAGGCTGCCATAAACCAACAAACCAGGCAAACACACCGCCTCACTCTCGCTAAAGCTGGCTGGCCCGTCACCTCACCGATCCATCCCAATCACTTAACTACTTCCAGTTGCTGGGAAGATCACATCTTCAGGTCGTGATTACTTACTTCTTCCATCTCCTCCCATTTTCTCTAAGCATCTTCCTTATCTACCTTGTCTCCTTTCTCTCTTTCTTCCACAGTTATTACTTTCTTCCCTCTCCCTTCTCCCATAACCTTTCATCATGACTTCTGAGGTATGTTATCTTGTTCCAGCCTAACCCCTCCTCTTCTCTGTTGTTGTCCACCCTGTCACCGCTGTCATGATGTCCATGGCGTGTATACACACACACACACACACACACACACCAACCCCACAACTCCATCTAAATTTCATTCGTTTTGATCTTTCGCCTATTTTTGATCAAGTCTTTACTGACAGTCTATTTCTGATGCACAGCGTGAGAAGTAAGAATCTCGGGCTACTATTCACTCCAAACAGATGGCAGGATCGCTGACGTCTTTCCCCTCCCCTCTACAGCAAGACTTTCCTCGCAAGGCTCTGCGAGCAGGCCGAGCGCTACGATGGTTAGTTGTCTTTCCTCAATCCTATCCACTGGTATGAGATAGCCTAATGCTCACTCCCTCACAGAGATGGTTACCTATATGAAGGTTCGTTTGTTTGTCTTGGCTTGTACGGGATGGTTGGACTGAATCAGCTAACCGCCGCACAGGAAGTCGCCAAGGTATGTACAAATCAGCCTCTAAGGTTGCACTGTGTCTAAATCACTAACTCCCTGGATCAGATCGGAGGTGAACTTTCCGTCGATGAGCGTAACCTCCTCTCCGTTGCCTACAAGAACGTCGTCGGTACCCGCCGTGCCTCCTGGCGTATCATCTCCTCCATCGAGCAGAAGGAGGAATCCAAGGGCTCCGAGCAGCACGTTGGCATTATCCGTGAATACCGCCAGAAGATCGAGACCGAGTTGGAGAAGGTCTGCCAGGATGTCCTGGACGTTCTGGACGAGTCCCTCATCCCCAAGGCCGAGACTGGCGAATCCAAGGTCTTCTACTACAAGATGTAAGCAAGCGACTCTTGACTCTTGCATCTTTAGTACGATCTCTAATCACCGTTCTGCCTATAGGAAGGGTGACTACCACCGTTACCTCGCTGAATTTGCTTCTGGCAACAAGCGCAAGGTTGCTGCTACCGCCGCCCACGAGGCTTACAAGGTATGTTGACCCTATGAGACCCACGCGCAGAGCTGGCGCAATATATGCTTGAGCGCTCCCTTACCGGCTGACCTCCTTTAGAACGCCACCGATGTTGCCCAGACCGACCTCACCCCTACCCACCCCATCCGTCTTGGTCTCGCTCTGAACTTCTCCGTTTTCTACTACGAGATTCTGAACTCGCCCGACCGTGCCTGCCACCTTGCCAAGCAGGCTTTCGACGATGCCATTGCTGAGCTCGACTCGCTTTCTGAGGAGAGCTACCGTGACAGCACCCTGATCATGCAGCTGCTGCGTGACAACCTCACTCTGTGGACCTCTTCTGACGGCAACGAGCCCGAGGGTGCCCCTGCCAAGGAGGACAAGCCCGAGGAGGAACCAACCCCCGCTTCTGAGGAAAAGGCTGAGGAGGCTAAGCCTGCTCCTGCCGAGTCTTAAACCGGCGGCTCTCGGGGTTTTCCTTTGTTGTATCAAAAGCCGTGTTGTGTCACTCGGCGTGTCTATTGGTGCCTGCAAGTCTTTTTCTTAGCCGCGTGACTGGTTTGGGCCAGCACATATCTTCCACTTGTTCGGGATCGTGTGGGTCGGGCCGGCGGAGTTTGATGATATCTGGAGAGGGAGGAAAAGGGGCCGAGTGGAATTTATCTCTCTTTTATTTGTCTCTATTCCCACCCCAGCAAGATACAATTGTCTTTTTTTTCCATTTTACCCCTTTTACTAGTTTCCACTTCCCTTTCTCCCCTGTCCTCAGATTTTATTCCCCCAATTAGTACCTGCCAATGGAAGTAGTTCGCTCCTTCATCTCAGATATTGAAAAGGGAAGACCGGCAGGTTGATACAGCAAAGGAAAATATAGGGGTTGTCGGATACTTCACCATCAATCTCCTTCCTCCAAATAGGTCCCTTCCATCGACTGCTAGCCTACTTCTCCTAGCGAATGTGTACATGCGTGCCTATATCCAAGCTTGAGATCTGGAAGTGCCCGCAATCATCCTGCAAGGGCCCGGGAAGTCCAATTCTGGAACCTTTCCTTGACCCCAGGCCAGGAGCTGGTGGCTGCAGAAGCCTCCTTGACCCTGCCCCTTTTCACATCCGTCTGTCGGTGGTCATGTGATGACTCACGCAAGGACTACAGAGTACACCTACCTTTACCTGCCATCTGCACTGATACTTTTAATATCGAGCCACATGGCTTTGATATCATAAAGTTGACTCTCTAATCGCTTTGCAAGGGAAATTTTGAGTGCTTTCTATAGATTTGACCGTCAAAGGTATGTATTCTATCCTTGAATCAAATAGAGTATATTACCGGAACAGGAGTCGCAGGATACAAGGTATATAGGTAAGCATATACAAATCTCAGTAATGCGAACGGGGGAGGTGAGAAATCACTGCTTCAATTAACAGTATGGACAAAAGAAAAAGTGTCATTTAAAGGATAAAAAGGAACCAAGAAGAAGGGAGTCATCCCCTTCCAAATAAGTGTAGCCCTACTTTTTAATCCTCAATCACATGAAGTCGTCATCATCCAGTCCATCGTCATCATAAGATGTGGCATCAATCTTGTTGTCTCTGCTAGCAACGAGAGAAACCTTGGTCTTGGCCGCCTTGGTCTTCTTGTTGCCTTTGTCGGCGGCACGCTCCTCCCTCATCTTCTCGTTGCTGATAGTGGTAAGGGCACTGGCAATCTTCTTGACATCACTGCTGTTGAGCTCCTTGACAAGCTGCTTGCTGAACTCCAGCGCCCACAGGGCGTACTGGGGCTTCTTCGAGTGCGCCGTCAACAGCGGGATCAGGGTGCTGGTCAGCCGGGCGAACTGGTCCTTGGTCGTGGGCTTGAACAGCGGCATGGCGGAGAGGTCGACGGCCTGCGTGGGATCCGCCGAGTCGCTGACGACGATTGCCTTGGGCGCCCCCCGGTTGCGGTTCAGATCGATGTCGTCGAACAGGTCCTGCGCGTGCTTGAGGTCACCCTCCTTCTCCGTGCGGCGCAGGCGGGCCCGCTTCTCCGCCTCGTCCTCTTCGCTGTCGTCGCTCTGGTTCGCCTCGGCGAGTTTCCGTCGCTCCTCCCTGTGCTCTTCTATCCGCTGGGCTTTGCTCTTCTTCTTCGCGGCCGCCTCGGCTTCAGCCTTGGCCGCCGCCGCCGCCGCCTTTGCGGCCTTTTCCCGCTCTACTTCGGAGTCTTCGGCGGCGTCCCACGAGTCGAGGACCTGTGCAGTCATAGAGGGTTAGTATATCTTGAACCAGCAAGCAAGGTGTATAGATCACGGAGTAATCCCACATCTTCTTCCTCCTCGTCGTCGAACTTGCGTCTGGCCACAACAGGGGGAGGAGGGGGCGAGCTGCTATCTTCCTCATCGTCTAAAATTCAAGATCAGCATCTCTCTCAAGTTAACAAGATAGAACGTCTCTGTCTGCAAGAACCTGGGATCGCGATATGCAGACTTGCAGATTTCAAGATATCACGTACCCCACTTCGAAGGCGCCATGGCGGGCAAAAGTCGTCAAAAAAATGTCCACTAATGCGACAACGTTCACGAGCCTTGCTGCGTCGATGCCCGGAAGCTGGTTCAGCAGGATCTGCCGTGTTTGAACGGGGTAGACTGTCGTGGCGAAGACCGACGATGATTTTTCTGAACGGACACAGACAGAATCTCGCTGCAGCCACAACAACTTCACAATGAATTCTTGCAGTGGGGCATGTGAATTGTCACGTGATACCCTAACATTGATGCCCGATACGTTGTTCCGAGTCGTACCTTGGTAATCTTTGCTGCCTTGGAGATTGCTAGAACCCTCACAACGCTTGGGCTACGTTCTTACGTGAACAAATACTTTACTGCGGACGTATTAAGTTGGATGCATTTTTCATTAAGCCACTATATAGTGTAGGCTGATCATATCATCATCATAACTCTTTATCGAACAGCATTTGGGACGGGCTGGCAACTCTTATTCAGCCTGGCAATGCTGTCATTTTTCGAAGCCCGCAAGGGGTCTGAGTCCAATCGTCATTTTTGATGCGTGTCGGATTGGGTTGAGAGCCTTGTGTGTGTAGATTATAGGATTCGCAGCTGCATTTACAGGTTGACGGCAGTGCGGAACTTGGAACCAGCGTAGACGGCGTTCTCGCCAAGCTCCTCCTCGATACGGAGGATCTGGTTCAGCTTAGCCAGACGCTCGGAACGGGCAGGAGCACCGGTCTTGATCTGGCCAGAGCGCAGACCGACGGCAATGTCGGCGATAGTGACGTCCTCAGTCTCACCGGAGCGGTGGGAGACCATGACACCCCAGTTGTCGGCGTAGGAGTCCTTGGCAGCCTGGATGGACTCGGTGAGGGTACCGATCTGGTTGACCTTGAGGAGGAGGGCGTTGCAGGACTTGAGCTCGATGGCCTTCTTGATACGCTCAGGGTTGGTAACGGTCAAGTCATCACCGACAATCTGGAAGTCGGAGGTCTTGTAGAAGTAGCTCCAGGCCTCCCAGTCATCCTCAGCGAAGGGGTCCTCAATGCTGACGATGGGGTACTTGGCAGCAAGGGACTTGTACAGGTCGGCAAGCTGCTCGTAAGTGAGCCACTTGGACGAGTCGCTCTCGGGGTTCTTGAAGTCAAGGTCGTACTTCTTGACGTCGGCCTTGTAGAACTCGCTGGAGGCAACGTCCATGGCGATCTTGATCTGGCCGGTGTAGCCAGCCTGCTCGATGGCCTCGGTGATCAGGTCGAGAGCCTCCTCGGCAGTCTGAATATCGGGAGCAACACCACCCTCGTCACCAACGTTACCAGCGGACTGGCCGTACTTCTTCTTGGCCAGAGACTTCAGCTTCTGGTAGACCTCGGCACCCTGGCGGAGGGCCTCGGAGAAAGAGGGAGCGGAGCTATTGGTCATAGTCAGGAATTGATCAAAGGAACCAATCCACCTCAGGCAGACTTACTCAGGGACGATCATGAACTCCTGGAAAGCGAGGCGACCACCGGCGTGAGAACCACCGTTCAGGACGTTCTGGAAGGGAACGGGGAGGACATAGGGCTTCTTGGTACCAGCGAGGTCGGAGATATGAGCGTAGAGAGGGACACCCTTCTCAGCAGCACCAGCCTTAGCGACAGCCAAGCTGACACCGAGGATGGCATTGGCACCGAGGTTGGACTTGTTGGCAGTTCCGTCAAGCTTGTTGAGGAACTCGTCAACCTTGGACTGGTCCTTCACATCGATGTTCTCCTTGATGAGAGCAGGGCCAATGGTCTCGTTGACATTCTTGACAGCCTTGAGGACACCTATTGATCACATTGGCATCAGCGAGACATTCTTTTCGGGGATAATATCATAATCAAGTAGATCAAGGCTTACCCTTGCCGCCCCAGTGGGTCTTGTCGCCGTCACGAAGCTCGTGAGCCTCGTGCTGGCCTATGTCTTCGTCAGCACTCTGAGGGTTTTGAAAACGCTTAGTTTCAAGAGAACAAACCAGTGGAAGCTCCAGAAGGAACAATAGCACGGTGCAGACCAGTCTCAGTGACAACGTCCACCTCAACGGTGGGGTTACCACGAGAGTCGTAGACGGAACGAGCGTGGATCTTGGAGATAGGCATTCTGACGAGCTGATTAAGAGGTCAGTTGGATGGAAATCAAGAGAGAAAAAAGACCACAGGAAGTGAGAGGACTGGACAGCTGTTATAGAGGGAAAAAGCCAGTTACGGGGTGTTGGGTGTGTGACTAGCAGCGGGGGGATTCTCTTCACCGATGACCCAAATTGAGTGAGTGGATGGGAGAATCGGTATGAGAGGCAAGTGATGCTGATCCAATCAATTGCAAACTACACTCACGGTGACTCAAGAGGACAAATTAACAGGGGGCAGAAGACTCAAAGGACGTAATTCCAGTATGATCAGACTTGATGTGGAAGGCCCAATTCCTCTTGGTGATGAAGAAGAGCGATGGAGGGGTCAACAGCACAGATGTGGAATGGTGGGGTAGATAGATGTTAATGATCTCAGAGGGGGGGAGCCCTGAACTTTACTTACATTTCAGACGGTAATGAGGAAGAGAGGATAACTGGAGACTATGAGGAGCAAATGAAAAGAAAGTTCAAAAGGCAATCGATCTTCTGAAGTTGGAATCTCGTCTACTTGTAGTTATGCCAATGATTGTACCCCGGGTAAAGCTCATGGTCGAAGCTCCGAATCTTCCCAACATGACGGTGGGGCAGCGAATCGTCCTGCTTCTCTCGCTGGCTGAGGCCTCTCCTTTGCACCGTTTCAATTGTAACTCTCCAGCGAGATCTCCCGCTTTCCCTCGGGGCAAGGCGGGTGAGAGTTGAGACGGTGATGCTCATGTTTTAGACTTGCGAATAAGAGCAGCAGAGTGCCGGACATGGTGGAGTACTGTATCTTCTTATTTGACAATTTCGGATAACTATGAAGGGGTATGTGCTACTGCTGAGGAAATAGATCAGATGTACTCTATTGTATGCATCTATCTCTCTAGATATGTATGCATTGAATCTACGGAGTATACACATCAGGCTCAATTGTACAGGTAGAAGAAAATGTTGTTAGCCATTCATTGCCTATCTACACTACTTCTGTTAGCCCGTTACATCTCAGCGATCATAAATCAACAGGCAAAGTATCGTGCTCCTGATCAGAACCTAAGTGCACCAAGCCAGCAGAGAATACTAAGGCATCTGTCTATGTTGTCTGGAAACTTCCATCCGTTGTGATTGCGTAATGGTAAAAGGACAGAAAATAGACACCTTGAAGCCTGAATACTCAGAATACTCGGTGCCTTATGGCCTTGTGGCATTGTAACTTTCACGTGATTGCAATGTCATAGGTATAGGTCATGTGATCTATGAGTGGTTGCTCCGTGAGCTCTCAACAGCTCGACCAAGCTGGAGTAGCGAGATCAGATACCCCATAATCATCACCCTTCTTTTGTACTCGTTGCATTGCAACTTTCCAAAAAAACACATTCTTCATCTTTAAGGTTATTTCTTGAATTCATTAGCATCCGTGAAATCCTAACCCCCGTGCTTCGCCCTTACAACGATGAACGGCGCAAGCGACCCTGAGAGAGAGCAGGCGCTCGAGGATTACAAGAAGAGCCTACTAGAGCTTCGAGAATGGGAAGCTAAGCTCAAGACTCTGCGTATGGGCATCAAGGACCTGCAGAGAGAGTTTGATATCTCCGAAGAGAACATCAAGGCCTTGCAGAGTGTCGGTCAGATCATTGGCGAAGTGTTGAAACAGCTGGACGAGGAGCGATGTATGCCATCTTCATATCCTATCTATCCAAATGTGCAGGAACTTGTCGTCTATAACACGATGCAAAATTTAATATGATGATACAATAGCTAACTTAGGATCACTGAGATAGTCATTGTTAAGGCGTCATCCGGTCCTCGATATGTTGTCGGCTGTCGCTCCAAGGTTGATAAAGGGAAACTGAAACAGGGCACTCGTGTTGCCCTGGACATGACAACACTCACGATCATGCGGATGCTCCCACGTGAAGTTGACCCGCTGGTGTATAACATGTCGTTGGAGGACCCCGGTCAAATCAACTTCGCGGGTATCGGTGGTCTGAACGATCAAATCAGAGAGCTGCGAGAAGTGATCGAGCTGCCGTTGAAGAACCCCGAACTATTTCAGAGGGTTGGTATCAAGCCGCCCAAGGGTGTATTACTCTACGGCCCTCCCGGTACCGGAAAGACATTACTGGCACGAGCCGTGGCAAGTTCGATGGAAACCAATTTTCTGAAAGGTAGGCACATTTCTGTCGTCTTCTTGTCGCAGCTGCTGATCCTGGTATAGTCGTCTCGTCGGCTATCGTCGACAAGTACATTGGTGAATCTGCGCGGTTAATAAGAGAGATGTTCGGTTATGCAAAGGAACACGAGCCCTGTATCATCTTCATGGACGAAATTGATGCTATCGGTGGCAGACGTTTCTCTGAGGGTACCTCGGCCGACAGAGAAATCCAGAGAACACTGATGGAGCTTTTGAATCAGCTGGATGGTTTCGACTACCTTGGAAAGACCAAAATCATCATGGCGACCAACCGACCAGACACCCTTGACCCTGCTCTGCTCCGCGCCGGTCGTCTGGACCGGAAGATTGAGATCCCCCTTCCCAACGAGGTCGGCCGTTTGGAGATCCTGAAGATTCACTCCAGCACCGTCCAGCTGGAGGGCGACATTGATTTCGAAAGCGTCGTGAAGATGAGCGATGGCCTCAACGGTGCCGATCTGCGTAACGTGGTTACGGAAGCGTATGTCTCATCTCTCCCGACTCGTTCATTTGGCAGGAGTAAAGTGCTGACATTGCATAGTGGACTTTTTGCCATCAAGGATTACCGGGACGCAATCAACCAGGACGACTTCAACAAAGCCGTTCGCAAGGTCGCGGAGGCCAAGAAGCTGGAAGGCAAGCTTGAATATCAGAAACTGTAGTCTAACATCTCGATGACTCTTATGCATGACCTCATTCTTCATGAATGACCGTCGGAATTAGACAGAATCTACCGCAATATTCAAGAGCATTGATTACGGCCTTCATCACTACCTTGATATCATCAGTAGACATAAAAATAATAATAATCCATATGTATATCCAGCAATATCATTTCATTAGACGGGTCTTGCGGTTTCCCCGCACGAATGATTCATTTGATAATGGCCCTGAAGCTGTACCATGATCTTCGCGTCCGCTGAACCTATGGTTTTGGGATACGTTTCATTAGGATCTTATGCTGCCCAAGTACAACGAGGAGAATTGAATACTTTCCAATACCTGAGGGTTGCCCAGAATCCAGAAGCTATGGAGCAGCAGAGTTGGTGCCAAGGCGCTTGCTTGCTTCCCCCGAACGAACTCCGCCAGTCAGATCTACAGATCGGCCAAGTCGCAACAAGAAGTGGCCACAACTACCATTACCACTGTTCCACCACATACTGAAAGACGCGCCTCGGAGGCTAGAAAGGGCGCTGGACGACCTGGTAAGTGCTTTAGCTTGTCTTATGGGAAGTAAGTGCAGCATTGATTCTTCCGTGGGCCAGCTGTTCCGACGAGGCATATTGAAATGTTTGTTTGGTCTGGTACGGAGTACTTGGCGAGCTCAAATCACCGAGCTCGAGACTGGTATCGAATCCCAAGATTGCTAACGCTTTGTCTCTCCTTAGACTGAGCACGAGGATTTGCGGACCGGACATCCTGATAACAGCCGAATTGCGCATTGAACCACTCTATGCGAACACCTTGATTCCTCTCCATAGTAGGTCTCTCGGACAGCTGGGTCAACCCTGAGAGATCGGAGACAAACACAGCGCTACAATGGACCGTAGCGCCATGTCGAGCTCTCCAACCCAGCGACTCCATAGCGAAAACCATTGGCGTGCGAACCGCAATCCCAGCGCCAGCCCCTTGGGCGGATATGGACTCTCACAACAGTCGACCGGGGTATCGAACAAACTCAGCAACTTCTTCGACGGCGATCGCTCGCTCCCGATGTACAAAGATAAGCCGTACTTTGCGCCGCGGCGGACAGCGGTGAGGAGTAGGCGGAGGAAGATCCTGTACGGCGGGTTGTGTGTGTTTGTCTTGGTGTGCCTGTGGTATTATACGGCGGGGTCTGGTGAGCGGCATAGGCATGGGTTAGACACGCCCGATACACCCAAGGGCGAGGAAATGTGGCAGTGGATGCAAAATCTGGGGGATCCGGCAATCGAGATTGAAGGTGGTCAGCATCAAAATATCGATTGGAATGCGAGAAGGGAAAAGGTTAGGGATGCTTTTATCATTAGCTGGGATGGATACGAGCAGCACGGATGGGGTATGTTTGCGACCAACCGGGGCTTTTTTTGGGGCTTTGGGGGGGCTTTTATTGGGGCGCGCTGACAAGGTTATGGCTAGGATATGACGAATACAAACCAATCGCGAAAGAAGGAAGACAGATGGTACCAGGAGGGATGGGTTGGATCATCGTTGATGCCCTTGATACGCTCATGATCATGAATCTGACCTCGCGAGTTCAGCACGCTCGCAACTGGATCCACAACTCGCTACAGTACAACCAAGACCACGACGTCAGCACATTCGAGACGACCATCCGTATGTTGGGTGGCCTACTCTCGGCGCATTATCTTTCCACCGCCCATCCCGAACTCGCCCCAATCGCCGACGATGATGCGGGCTCACCAGGAGAGGATCTCTATATTGAGAAGGCGACCGATTTGGCGGACAGACTGCTGGGCGCATTCGACTCTGGGTCTGGAGTGCCATATGCCAGCATCAATCTGAATTCGTCCACCGGTATTCCCGCGCATTCAGACAATGGGGCTTCGTCTACGGCGGAGGCCACCACTGTTCAGCTCGAGTTCAAGTACTTGGCCAAGCTGACGGGAGAGGCGGAGTACTGGCGGGTGGTGGAGAAGGTGATGCAAGTGGTTGATGAGCAGAAGGTGGAAGACGGCCTCCTTCCGATCTATATCTATCCGGACTCTGGACATTTCAGGGGAGACAACATCCGTCTGGGAAGTCGGGGTGATTCTTACTATGGTGGGTGAGCCAGGGTTTTTTTTTTTTCGGTGGATTCCCTACTAACAGTGGCTCTTAGAGTATCTCATCAAGCAATATTTGCAAACATCTAAACAGGAGCCCATCTATAAAGAGCTCTGGGATGAGTCGTTGATGGGCATCCGCAAGCATCTGATTGCTTACACCAAGAATGCTCAACTGATGATCTTGGGGGAGAAGCCGTCTGGACTTCATGGAAGACTATCGCCGAAGATGGACCATCTGGTCTGCTTCATGCCGGGAACCATTGCTCTAGGAGCGACTGGCGGCGTGCCCTTGAGCGAAGCCAGGAAGTCTCCCGACTGGACTGAGCGGCAGGACGAAGAGATTCTGCTTGCCCGGGAATTGATGAAGACATGCTGGGCGACATACCTCGCGACCGAGACTGGACTGGCTCCGGAAATCACATACTTTACCTTGGACGACCCTCCGAAGATGTTCCATGACATGTACCCCGACTCGACGATGAGCACGGGCAACCGCAAGTCCCCGGGGGCCGATCTGGCTCCGAAGTCACAGCCTCTTTACCCGCTGGACGACAAGACGCTCAAGTGGCGGGAGGACATCCAGATCCAGAGTCAGGACCGACACAATCTCCAACGGCCGGAGACGGTCGAGTCACTGTTCTATATGTACCGCGTGACAGGGGACGAGCTGTATCGCCAGTGGGGCTGGGAGATGTTCAAGTCCTTTGTCCGCCACACGGCCGTGGTCGAACATGACGAGTCGCACGGGACCGACGTCCCTGCTGATGCTGGCGGAGCGCAAGCCGAGACAGTCCCGCGGCCCTCGCGGATTACGGGATTCACGTCGCTGAGCAACGCCAACACCGTGCCCCCCGTAACCCGGGACAACATGGAGAGTTTCTGGATGGCCGAGACTCTCAAGTATTTCTACCTGTTGTTTTCCGACCGCGACTTTATCTCCCTGGAGGACCATGTGTTCAACACGGAAGCGCATCCGCTGCCGCGGTTTCAGCCTACGGGTGATTTGAAGACGGGGTGGACGCGGAAGCCTCGCTAGGGGACTATTCTGTAGTGGATTGATGATGTACATATATATATTTCCGAGTGATTCGATAAGTAGCATGATGAGACTGTTTCTATGAAGTCGACCGGTCCAGCGCAGCCTGGATCAGCTTCTTATACCCGCGCACGGCCTCCTCGAGCTGCGCGACGGTCAACGCTTCGTTGTCACCGTGCGCGACGTGGATACTCCCCGGCCCGTACAGGTACCGCTTGACCTTGCCATCCGGACGGTCATGGAGCTGCAGGTTCGGCACGTCCGTCCCGTAGTTGACGGTGGTGACCTCGAACCCAGGAACATCGGTATCCAGGTCCTGCGGGCCATAGCCCTCCAGACTGAAGTGGACAACCACCCGCTCGTCGCCACCCGTCGCGTCCCGGACCGCCTGGCGGACGATCTCGCGCGCCTCGTCGTCCGTCCCGGCCGCCAGCCGCACGGCGACGCCCGCGCGCGCCGAGCTCGGCACCACGTTCACCGCGACGCCGCCCTCCATCCGCCCGATGTTGACCGTCGTCCGACCGTACTTGTCGCTGGCGGGCAGCCCGCCCTCCTCGGCGGGGATGTCGCCCAGCCGGTCCACGCGCGCCAGCGCCGGCAGGATGGCGGAGATGGCACTCTCGCCGAGCCAGGGATACCCGGAGTGGGCGGCGTGGCCGTGTGCGGCGACCTCGAAGCCCAGCATGCCCTTGTGGCCGGCGACCAGGGCGAGCTCGGTCGGTTCGCCGAAGATGACGGTGTGGAAGGGGCTCGGGGAGGGGTTGAGGCGCGGCGACCGCGAGAAGGCCTTCATGCCGTCGCCGCCGGTTTCCTCGCCGACGACGAAGAGGAGGCCCAGCGGCGCGGAGGGCTGGTCGGCGAGGGTGTCGAGGGTTGCGAAGATCTGGGCCGCGACGCTGCCTTTGGCGTCTACGGTGCCGCGGCCGGCGATGAGGATGTGTCTGTCGTCGTCGTCGGCGGCGGCATCTCGGTGCAGGGAGTACGGGATGAAGGGGGGCACGGTGTCGATGTGGCTGGTGAGGAGGATCTGGGGGTTGGATTGGGGATGGGACTTGGGGAAGGCGAAGATGTTGAAGCGGGTTGCGTTCCCGTTTGCATCCGTGGTGACGGGCTGCCTGATCACGGTGAAGTTGTGGGATTCCAGGAAATCAGCCACAAAGGCGCCGGCTTCGCCCTCGTTTCCGGAGATGGACTCGATTGAGACGAGGTCCCGATGGAATGACAGTAGAGGCGAGGCATTGATGACGTCGTCTAGGGAGTTTTGGCTGATGGGAGCCCGGAGTGATTCGGTCAGAGTCTCGCTCAAGATTGTTGGGATCTCTGCTAGAGGCGCCTGCGGAGATGCGGGGTGCGGAGGAGCAGCGGCCGACAGAGGGGCCGACAGGGCGGCGCTGAGCAAGAGAGATGACAAAGGCTTCATTTCAGGAATACCTCTCTAGATTGGACGTGGGATAGAGTTCGAGGCGTCGATGGAACTGACAAAGTTGATGGCTCTCAAGGTTAACCACGGGATACTGATAGAAGCCGACAGTGACGTTGGGATGGTAGGAGCCACGTGATCTTTCGACCGATCAATATTATCCGACTCTACGGAGTGCTACGAAATGGAGTATCCATGGGAGTATCCAGGGAGTAATGTACTGATCTCTTGAATTGATCGATGTGGCTAGAGAGGTATCGAGGAGTCGAATACAGATGGCCCTGGATATGTAGATAGATCGAATTGATGGATACACTAGACAGATAGATAGCCACTGTACGGAGTAGATATGCCTAGGTTTCCCAGTACAGTACGGAGAAGAGTCCTGGACGAGTAGGTACATACAGTCAGTGGCAGTGAACAATTATCCGATCCTAAGAAACCGAGAAACTGGTGCCAAGTCCCCGACAGCCTGAGCCAACAAGATTTACCATTTACCAGGGATAATCCAAGGTCACATTTACGTCAAAGGCTGGGACATACTCAGGCCATGAGGTCTTACCCAATGGGCCATGTGGATCTGACGTCGCTACCAGAACTTTTCTCTTACTAAGGTACTCTGTACAGTCTACACAGTAGAAAACGAGTTAACGTGTCACCTGTACAGTACTCTTTACTTGTACATATACATATACATATACATATACATACACATATACACATACATATACATAATCATATGCGAACTCATCAGCTTGACTGCCTCGGGTAGAGCTATCGATGTGGACTGCGCAGAGAGGTCCTGACACTGTCGCACGACAGCTGGAGCTCAACCTTCCCCTTGTCGGTTTCTGATGATAGTAATAGAAATAGGGCTATGACGATGAAGGCTCTCGTCTATCAAGTCCATCAGAGTCTAGAAGACGCTGCTCTTTACTTTTCAGGGTCAAAAGTGGGTTATTTTTGCGTGGTGGACTCCAGCTGGAGCGAGATCGGAGTCCAGTTCTTAGCCTACCCATGATTGGTAATAAGCACCAACACTAGCAAGAATAAGGCATCGGCAACGCAACGGTTTCTGTAGTTCTCAGCTGCATTAGATATTAGATATTAGATATTCTTTAGACTTCAGACTTCAGACTTCAGCATTATTCTGAGACATGTCTGATACAAGTAATGGAGCAGAAATCAATCATTCTAGAAGAAGTCAGTCGACGGGAGAAGCCACCGCAAACCGTGGCAACTGGCAAGCAGAGGCCTCAGGCAAACCGGGTTCCATGGCTCACGCACAACGGAACGCACGGAGTTACTCTTACAGACATTTCTCCTGCATTCTGATTCGCAAGTGTTTTTTCTCTTCTTTGTGTTTCTTGGTTCTGGTTGTGGTTCTGAAGAAAAAAAGAAGAAAAAGAGAAGAAAAAGAGAAGAAAAATAAAGGGAAAAAAAGAAGAAAAAGAATTGGTCGATGCATGGGGATAGTCGACCAAGTTGAGACCTGGAGAATACTACTACTAGTAGATACAGAAGAAAGAAAGAAAGAAAATCCTGCTCCATTATTTCGCCTCTTTTCCTTTTCACATTGCTCCATCGATAGTATCTATCTACTTCGTACTAAGAGTATCACAGACATTTCCATTCCATCGGATTGTAGATATCCTATCCTCGTCTTGTCCTCTCTTTCTCCTCCTCTTCCTTCTCTTCCGTCGACAGTCACACTCGCACATTTCACCGCGTTTTCTCCCGATCCTTGTGGTCGTGAATGATTGCTTGCTTGCTTCTTGCTTGCTTGATTGATGAACTGCATCCTCGCCCTCCTCCTCATCCTCCACTGAGCTGTCCTCCTCTTCTTCCTCCTCGGTCTGTCTTCTTCCCACTCATCTGCTCCACGTCTGCATCTTCTGTCGGCCCTACCGCCTGTTCGTCGCCTTCAGGCCCAAAATATCCTCTGCCGCTGTTCTTAACATTCAAATCAGTCAATTGCGTCTCTGGAATCAGAAAGAAAAGCAATTACCGCTGCCAATCAATCAATCATCACCACTGCCTGGTTTCCCCTCACCCGTCAATCTCCTGCCTCTCCTGACTCATCCATCACGACCTCTTCTTTCCCTCTGGTTGACCGCCACGCCACGTCTACTTCCTGCTCCCAACTCATCGATCCCCTGTTTGAAATAAGGGCTCTTGCCTATTTTCTTCTCTCCCGCTGCCTTCAATTCATTAAATACAACCTCGTCAGATCATGTCTCTTTATCCTTCTTCAATCCTCTGCTTCTGAATTGCGCATCCGCACGTGAAAGTTCCTCCAGTTCCATCCGAACAATCAACCCACCACCACACAGACAATTCTCCGTGCCTGTCCACCATGCTGAAACTCTCACAATTACTGGACGTCAAACGGCGTGACAGTTCCGATACAAATGCAGACGTCTCGCCATTGTCCCGTCAACCCCCTCAGTCCCCGCTGACGGCTGAGCTCTCAACCCCGGTCTCGCCCGTGGTCTCGCTTTTCTCCTCCAAAGGTCATACGCGTGTCTCCAGCTCCGTCTCCTCCCTGGTCTCGTCCCCTGGTCTGGGAAACTCCATGGAGAGCTCAAGGAATGCCCTGACAGGAGTGAAGGAGGAACCCTGCCAAGCCAGGGATCTGGAGGAGGAATATTTCCGTACGTCCTTCCCTTCCACCAAATCTTGCTCTGCTCTTGCATATTAATTAATTCCATGCAGAACATTTTGACCAAGGCATGTCTGTCGTGGACGATGCGTACTTTCGACCCTCGGTCGATTACCCTGAGACTTACGACTTGAACGATACCGGAATGGACCTCCCCCATTCCCCCAAGAAAAGACGCGCCGACAGTCTCTCAGGTAAAGGCCTGTCGCGCATTGGTTCTCGCATATCCACCATCTCCAACCGCTGGAGATCAAATCGCGTGTCGGACGGTCCGGATGCCGTCGACACCTTTGGATCCAGTCTGCGGTCCCGGACAAACTCCGCCTCGTCCATCCGCGCCAGCCCGACTGTAAGTCGAGTTGACTCCATCGCGATTCCGCCTTCGCCTGCAAGGACTATCTTTGAGGAACGCATGAGTGAGTCGGGAACACAACCCATCGACATTGCCAAAGCGAACAGCCAGTGTCAGGATGACTCGGACGCCCCGCAAGCCACCACTCCCCTGCTTCCTCCCTTCATGGGGGACGAGCCACTGAGCGTTACTGCCTCCAGAGTTCAATCGCCTCTGCAGTCACCGTCGGTCGCCGACGTCTCCGAGGAGTGCCTGGACAACAGCATGACGTTTCCAGACCCTCGTCTGGCAGGCATCCCGTCGCCTCCGCTGTCGTCCAAGCCGTCGGTCGCTTCGTTTAATCGTCCACGCGCCAGTACGATGCGGACCGTGTCTGGAGATGGCCCGTCCTTCACGTTGACCGATCCGAACGACGAGTGGGCGACCCAACTTGGCCATGCCAATTTCACTATCCAGCCCGAACCCTACGTGCCTGAAGTCTACGATCTGAGCTCGTTCCGGCAATTACGCGAACACTGGGATCTCGCACAGTGCAACTTCACCAAGCACCTGGTCCGGACCGGTGAACACTACGGTGTGACCTCCACCATCTACAAGCTGACCGAGGCCAAGTGGGACGCGATCAACAGTGAATGGAAGCGCACCTACGACGAGATGTTGTCCCAACTGGACGCGACCGACGGCTCGCTCATGGGCATCATCAACTCTCAAGGCAACCCCTGCGAGCAAGTCAAAATTCCTCGGCTACATGACGAGAAGTTCCCCGAACTGGGCGATGGCGAGATCGTCGGTCCCATGAAAATTGCTCCGGCGGCGAGTATCCCGACACCCTGCCGGAGCCGATCCTTGAAACGAAACTTTTTCAAATTCTTCCAGGATCTCGTGTCGCGATCCTGATGTGCATTGCATCCATTACAGCGATTAATGACGATAGAGCACTCCCGAAGAGGTCTTCGATGTACAACAACTTGTAATAACCGAGCCTCTGGGGTGGATTGTTTGAGCGTGTGACGACTAATGTCTCTTTTCTAATGACTGATGACCACCTCCATGTGCCTGCGACTACTGACTCGCAGAGCAATTGCATTCCTTCAACATACTTCTTTTCATATGTTCAATATTCCACGACATGACGGACAATTTTCTTGTGTAGGGGTTTGGCTGGTCACGATGAGAAGCAAAGAGTGCTGCAGATCGTGCAACCGTTCCATTCCCTGTACCATGCACAGTGAAGGTCTGACATGAATCTTGATGTCGATGTATCTGATAAGACGTGTGTCCGTCTCTATCAAAAAACAGACAAAAGCATGAATGATATGGTCTGCCGTGTATATGTATATATGTACCCAAATATACCCAGCATTTCGATAATGAATCATAGAGATTACTTTGATACTACTCGTCCAGTTTAGTGAAATCAGTAAACGGGTACAGAGCACTTCTCCATCGATCCTCAGTGGGTATTCTCCATATCAGCCAGTCGTGCTATCTCGGTGAGGTGGTCGACTCTTTGCTTACCACAGGACCATCTTGCTCGGCCCACTTTATTTCTCGGTCGTCACTCACTCTGCAGCGTGCACCCCTGCCATCTGCAGTCCATCTGCCCACTCACATGAGGCAGGATGGGCAGGTGATGAAGATATGCCTCTGCTAACCGCCGGGCAAACAAACCGTCCACGAAGGCAGCGTCACCTGTGAAGGCAAAGCGACGCAAGCAGACAGACATGAATATAGTGATCAGTTACTCCGTCACAACCGACAAATCAAACCCAGTACTGCCCCCATATCCGTCTCGCCTCCTCGTTCCCCCGAAACCGAAAGTCCACGCGGACGATGTCACTGAAACCCTCCTCCATGGTGGGCTCTCTGAACCGTTTCAGGAAGTCGCCGAATGCGATGCCAGGGAGTGACGTGCGGGATTCGGGGTTCTACAGCGAATCAATCGTTAGCCTCGTTTTCGGCGTTCTAAGAGAGAAAAGAGAGACGGACCAACGTTCGGTTCGCAGCGCGGACGGCGTTGTTGTGTTTACATAGTTCCGGCGGACTGGTGAAGTGTACGCATCGGATGGGGACGTTGAGTTCCTGTGCGACGCGCACCCATTCGGCGCGTGTGTTGGGGTCTGCGTTGGTGTTGTCTGCTATTGCGTCAGCATCGTGGTCTGGGTGATTGCCCAAGACAAAGAGTAGAAACTTACCCACGACGACGGAGGAACCGGCCGCGAGAAACTCTTTGGCGACTTTGATACATTTCTGTCTCTGTTGACAATTCAGTATTAGCGTACTGTTCTACATTCATGGGGATTGTACAGCAATCGTACCGTCTTGAGATTGTCCTGGTTGACTCGCTCGTAACCCAATGGCTCGAGGTAATTCCAGTAAAACGTCGATTTGCCAGCTCCAGGGCTGCCGCAGAAGAGGACAAGTTCCCGGGAACTTTGGCGGGCGAACGGGATAGACACTGCAGGTTGGTCATTAGTATGCATTCAGCGATGGAGACAAACAGAAGTGAAGCTAACCGTCGTCCGCCGGGTCTGTCTTGAGGTAGGAAGAAGGGTTGAAGGGCACCGGGACATCTTGCGCCGCCTCATTCAGGAAGAACTCTTCGGGTGTCTTGAATGGGATCCCGACGTTTAACGCGAAGCCTCTACGACGCGATTCGTTTAGCGGCAACTTCTTGACGTGTTCCCGGATGAGAACTCACCGGTCTACCATGGAGTGATCCCGGGGACGGCCGGCCGCATCTCCCACGTAGAATGATTCGGACAGGTCTACGCCGAAGACATCGAGGTCGTAGTCTTCCACAAACTCCTTCCACATTCCCGTCCGCGGTTTCCTATTCTCGTCGTCTGCCGTGGCGGCATAGACGCTGATCGGGATGTCTATCTGGCGCATCACGCCGGCCACCCTCTCCTTGAAATTAGTCAAGCTCTTCGAATCGGCTCGGCCGCCCTTGAGGTCTTTCTGAAGGCTGATCCTCTTCTGGTTGGACATGATCACGACATGGTACCTGTGGGTTGCGGTCAGCTTGATTGACGTCGTGAAAGATAGATGCCACCTGCCCGTCCGCATTCAGCTCCTGGAGTCTTGTCGGTACATTGGGAGAAAACCACTTCCAATCTGAAGAGTTCCTGGGAAAGGTGTTGCCGGAGGCTGTCACGACCAAAGTGGAGTCCTGCGTCGTGCGTCGTCAGTTTGCCTTCGTTTAAAATGAAAAAGTGAAAAGCCAGCAGAGCTTACAAGATCGAAGGCGGCCACTTTGGCCTTCTCTCTTCGTGCAGGTTGTTCATCTGGACCGGTCGTATACTTTCCAACCACAAGGCTGTTGTTGACGACCCTCCATGTGATCTTCTCGGGCTTCTTCTGAGATGTAGGTGTGAAAAAGGAGGCGACAGTGCGCTCTGAGCCCGTAAGCTGATGCCATTGAAGTCAAGTAGATATACCTTGAATGACTTACTTGTGACTGTTGACTCAACTCTTCTTTTGAGCGGGGGCGGAGAGATGGCTCTAGTTGGCGAGGCGGCTCTTTTGGCTGCCCCGGACATTATCCTGAGTGTCACTAGCTGAGAATCTTGACAGGTGATGAGTCTAGTCGATCTGATTGATTCACAAGGAGGGAGTGAGGGGACTCTGATCCTGCGGGGTCACAGGCTTAGAGAACTAACTGAAACCCGGCATCAAATGGTCGACGAAATCAGGAAAATAGTGATATCCAGCGAGATGCAGAAGCTAAAGAGGTCGAACAGAATGTGTTGCGTTGATTGACTGAGATATATCAGAATTGGGTGTAAGTTGAGGTTGACGCGCCGTCACGCGTAATGAGGTTCACGAAGTCACATGGTCTATATAAGTCCAAAGTGCCTGAGGCAGTCGTAGGCATACATTAGGCACCAGCAACACAATCTAGCCTCCAAAATGGATTGGGATTATCATTGCTATCTCGTTTTTACTTGAAGATGATACAACCCTTGAAAGTGTTTATTCCAAGGCCAAATAGACGGTGCCGGGTATAATGCTAGTATAACTATCAAGGCATAGACATCAAATCACTTTGCTCGAGTATCCAAGGACAATCGATCTGCTTGTTCCAGACGAACAGCGGACTTCAATTGCTCCCTTAGCCCAAAGAGATGCTGAGAGGCAATCCTCATGGTCTCCTGGTTGCCGCCATCCTGGACCGTGATGGCGGCCTGTAGGACGTAGCCTCCACTCCTGTCAAGTGGTGTCATTTCATGTAGAGCTGGCAATTGCCGCCGAGGCTCGTGAGATTCAGTGGGGTAGTGAAGGATGCGATGTAAAAAGATGACAATGTCGTTATGAATGAAGATATCACCCTCCACCGCATACTCGGTGACAAAGCTGTAATCGGGTCAATCAACAGTTTCTCGAGTCTAAATCAAGGAGTAATGACTGACTTGTAACCCCAGGCATTCATCGGAACTGTGATATCGCCTCTAGGCAGACTAGCACTTGCCATCAGCCGGGCTGTGACGGCAGACCGGGTCCCTGCCTCGGGAATATCCCTAAACTCCAATTTCCAGGGTTGGTTCTCGTATTCATAGTAATGCGCCCGGACAGACGATTTCTCATCTGTCCCGGACATGTGTGCATCTTGCTCGCCGACTGGCGAAGCAGGTGCGCCAAAATCAGCCTCGGAAACAGGGCCAACGACCTGGGTATAGAACATGCCACCATTGAGCATCTTGTTCAGTCGCTGCAATTCTGCGCCCTGCAGGTCCTGACTGGCACCTACACGGACATTGACCAGTCCGGGTTTACGGTATGCTTTGAAGATCAGTCGTCTCTCTAGGCGGTGTTGAGGTTGCATGGCAGTCAACCCTGCCAGCTGTTGGAGTAACTCATGATGCTGATGCGCCGGTACCGAGGCGAAAAGCAACAGCTCGTGCATGATGCGTCATAAGAAGATTTATATGGTCGGGTTGGTGGTCGAATGATATAAATCACGGGAATCACAACGGCCGACGACCGAGAGCGTAGAACCCTGGGAGCCTAAGGCACTCTGTCCGGGTCCGTCGGCGTTAGGAACGGTCAAAAGTTCGAAAAGCGCGACGGGTAAAGTCGGGGAGCGGGAGGCGGATGTACTGAAATGGGAAATTCGGCCTGAGGGTCGTCGTCTCTTCAAGAGTTCATGGGCTGATCATCAATGACTTCCCCCATTACCCGATCAAGTGGGAACGGATTAACTAAGATTCCGGCTATCAGTGAAGTGAGGTGATGTGGTAAAAGTGTTTGATAATGATTTTAGGCTAAGACTCCTGATATCGTTCTTGGCTTCACGGAGTACGGAGTAGAGAAGGTACTTTGGATGATGTAGATACGTACAACTTCTCACATGTTTCAGTGATAACTTGACGTTTAGCACATGTCTCTAGCTGTCTCTTGCATTTCCCCTCCCCCGCATATTTGTCTCTTAAGAATGTGATTGCGGTGACTTGTCTACCTGAGACAGATTGAGACGGACGGGGATGACCTCCAGGGCTACTTATGTTTCGTACTTTTGACGTGATACCAACCCCATAGTAGATCATCCATATGTTCGGTCTCCGAGATGAGGGGAAAGCCAGTGCCTGAGGAGTTACTCCGTGCTGATGAGGAGCAACGCTTAAGGCATGAGAATGAAGAATAGGCTCACCGAGAATGCGGGTTGGGTAAGGCATTTGGGGAAGATTTCGGAAGTCCAAATCCCAGATCAGCAGTAGCAACTCGTATCCGAGCGGAGTTGGACAGCATGGAGTATCATGATCTGATCCTGACTCCGACATGGGGTGATATCCCCTCAGTACTGTAAGACTGAGTCTATTTCAGCTGCAGCCTAAGTGAAGCCTCCCGGCATTCCTTTCCAATCAGAGATCAGCAGAGGTAAGATTACAGAAAAAGGCGTGAGAATCCTCCTCCACAAATTCCGAGGGGCCCTTGCGTGAGTGCGGAGGAAGTCTTTTATGTGTGCATATACTGGATCTACCTACAGGAACAGAGATTGAAAACAGAAGACTACATAATAAGAAAAAAGAAAAAAGAAAACTGATCTCTGTCTTCCCGCTGGATGCAAAAGGCCGGTGGAGAGGGAACCTCCCGCCGTACTCTGTAGCAGGAGTGAACCACACCACCGCCCACCCTCGCTTCCTCCCCTCCTCCTCCCTCTTATTTTAACTTAGTCTCCCACTCATTGTTCTCTCTCCTCAGTCCTTCCAACCTCTCATCTCAGTCTCTTCAATAATATCCATCTCACTTACTTTGTATAATTCCCATCTCCCACCTTAACTTGACACCAGGCTGGGTAGTCGGCCTGCTCGTAATCACAACCTTGCTATACTGAAAAAGGCTACCTCGGGCGGATCGGACAGTACCGGATCGGTTCAATTTCTCTCACGCAATTCTCCTCGATTGATATAATCTTCTCGACCTACTTTCTCTGCCAGCACCACTTCGTTCGATTCTCCCTACATAACAACCCCATCTCATTCAAAATGCATGCCACTGCTGCTCTGCGAAGTGTCGCTCGGACTCCCCTGATCCGCTTTGTCGGTCGGCGTTCTGTGCCTAGTACGTATTATCTAGAATCAGCTCCTGGTAAACGATCTATCCGGTGGACTAACGCTATTGTGTTCGCTCCTGCTCAGAATCCATTGATCACACTCCTCGCCCTCACCCAGCCTCTCCCTCCGGCGTTCTCCCCGACTCTTTCGCTGCCTACCGCTCCAAGGCTCAGCAACACGGCCCTCTCGGTCGCGCTTCTTTCTCTCAGGGATCTGTCGGCCGCTCGGCCGGAGCTTCTCTCGGCCCTGTTCAGCCCAAGCAAGGCGAATTCTTCGACCGTGCTGAACTTCCCTCCAGATTCCACCGTCTGCCATGGACTGAGGCTGAGATTGAGGCCATTGAGACTGGCGGTGCGAGCCTTTATGCTTAAACAACACGTGTGGATACGTGTATGAGAGATGACACGATTGATGTGGAAGCTCATGTCGATGATCGCAAAGTGACTCAGTCGATGGCACGTCAGGACCGGAGGAAGTGGTCACCAGTGACTGATCGGAGGTCATGGGGATGTTAGTCGTCTTGCTTTTCGTTGGGGCTTCAACAAGAGCCGCGGTATTTGTATGTCGACGGTCTCCTGCCTTGACCAGCAGGACTTCATCCATCCCCGTGCTGGTGATGAGTCGTCGGAGAAACGACGATTGTCACCTCCATCAACGGCTGTGTCTGGCTGCCTGTCTCCGTCCGTTTCTCTCCTTTTCTTCTTTTGCTCAATTCTATTCGTCAATTCCTTTTGGAAGGCGCTGGTGGTTTGCAAGTCATCGCACTTAGCGGTTACAAGTTGGGTCTATTTTCGGGCGCGTTCAACACCATGGGGTTTCTTTTGATGTTTGACTGTGGAATGTCAGGGTCCGCAAGCATCTGTACATATTACTATAAAAGTCTGCTGGACTGGTTAGACTGTTTTTCGTCGAGAGGTTCGGATTCCTCTCGCTGGTTATTGTTGACTACAGGAGTCTCAACGATGAAACTACGATGCATTTTTGAAAACCAACCGCCTTTGAGCTGTCTTTTCTTTGGATTTGTAAATTGGTAAGCATAGATCGACACGAAAAGTGCGCTCTGAAATGCTTGCACTGTGTCTCGAGGTATGATCCACGCATAACCTATTTCCACTGTCGTCACACGTGTCCCGATTCGCAATAGCCTATCGGTCGACCTAGGCCTATCAACCTATCAGCACAACATCTATCAACTACACTCTGCAAGCAGGAATACTCAGGCTTTGATCACTACGCAGTACAGCTCGGTGTCGTCTTGATGATATACTTTGGCACATGAAACCTCTATCATAAGCCAGAGCCGTCAAGATGGCTAGAAGCGACGTGAGAAACACCATCACGTTTACCGAAGTAGACGAGACCAACAATCCCACAGCAACCTATGTCTATTCCGAAACTCAGGAACATCCCAACAGTTCACATGAGAAGAGTCTCGGCAAATGGGGGAGGGTCGATGTGATGGTGAGTCAAGCCTTGATCCCTAGACATATACGTGACTTGTTCAAGCAAGCATCATCCAACTGCGCGGACTCGGCCATTGATCCTTACTGTCGATATAGAGGCGCTGGACATTGGTTGACAGTATACCAGCATCCTTCTTCTACTCCCCCGTCGCCATGGTCTCTAAGGACCTTCGTCAACCTGCTTGTCGACGTCTTTCTGCCATCTGGGTATCCCCACAGCGTTACTGATGATTATCTGCCGTGAGTATATCCTTCGGCTCTTGACAGGACATGAGTGCTAATCATACAAAGGTATCAAATCTTCGTGAGTACCCGACTCGATGGATTCTCGACACCTTCCGCACGCGTGCGGTACACATGCCTCGCCAGGAAGCTGACGCCTCGCCTCAGGACTCCCTCCAGGCATTCTGCAGCTCCATCGCCGGTCTCTTATCCTCCAGAGCCGTACTCCAAGGCGTCGGCGTCGGCAACGCCAACGCCTCTCCAACCTCCGCTCTCCTCCTGCACATCCTGCAGGACTCCTCCGGCCGGATCGCCACGATCCTCTTCGCCCATCGCGTCGGGACGGCCCTCGAGCCCGAATGCAAGATGTACCGCCTCGCGGCCGATGTGTTCAACGACGTCGCCATGGTCCTGGATTGCCTGTCGCCCATGATCCCCGCCGGAGTCGGCCGGGTCGGCGTGCTGAGTGCGGCGGGCGTGCTGCGCGCTCTGTGCGGTGTTGCCGGGGGCAGTTCCAAGGCGAGTCTGAGTGCCCATTTTGCTCGTGGGGGGAACCTCGCTGAAGTCAACGCTGTAAGTGGCTGCCGAATCTTAGAGAAAGTCAGCAGCATACTGAGCTATGGCGCTAGAAAGACTCGTCACAAGAAACGATCATCTCCCTGATCGGGATGCTGGTAAGCCTCGTCTTTGCGAAATTCTGAGATAGCCGGACAAGGTATTCACACACAACACACACGTAACAGGTCGGCTCCTTCGTCGTCTCCCACGTCACAAGCTTCGCAGCCACCTGGACCAGCCTCCTGCTCCTCCTCACCGTCCACCTGGGCATGAACTACGCCGCCGTGCGCGCCGTCCAGATGACCAGTCTCAACAGACAGCGCGCAAACATCGTCTTTTCCACCTTGCTCGAATCCGACCCGGCTCTGGATCTCCACAGCCTCGGTCTTAGCAGGGAAATCGACCATCCGACACCCCCGCCCGCCCGGCAATCTTCCCCGTCAACACCAAGGTCACCGCTTACACCCGCCGAGGTCTCCAACCAAGAAAAGATCTTCGAATCCGACGGTCTCCTCAGATGGACGTCGGCTTCCACACAAAGCCGCGAACTCGGGTACTGCCAGATCGGCATCTCCCTCGACCGATTCCTCCGCCTGTCGGCGACGAGCACCAGCACCAGCACCAGTACAAGCATAAAGATAGGAGCATCGCCGAGCCTCAAAACCACCTTCCCAATGCCCGAACTCTCCACTCTCTTCGCAAAGGAGGATCACCTCCTCTTCCTGGTGCGGCGCAGAGCCCACGCCCGTGTCTGGTACGCCGGTATCCTCCTCAAGAATACCTGCTCCCCCCGATCGCAGCTGAAAGCCTGGGCGCATGCATTGCTTGCTGCGCGCGTCTTGGATCTTTCCTTGTCCGGGGAAGGGGACGGGCAGATCTTGGATGTGATAGCGCGCACGCTGGACTTCCTCAACCGCGACGCGAGGTTCGAGCGATATCTGCAGGGTCTGGAGGAGGTGGGCTGGGATTTGAGTCTAGCGGCTTTGGAGACCAGGTCTGGGCGGAGGCTTGTGGTTGATAACCACCAGTAGCAATGTCGTCTTTTACATGTGTACGGAAATAATTCATGAACAAATGTCATCTACTGGACATAGTGCAGCCAAAGGCAG